TGGCATATTCAAATGAAAGGACAGACAAAACATGGACGGATTCAAAGAGGAAGAAAAGACTGACCACGGACGGACTCGGACAGACAAAACACGGACGGACACAGACAGACAAAACACGGACGGACAGACAAAACACAGACAGACAAAACACAGACGGACAACAAACACGGACGGACAGAAACACGGACGAACACAGACAGACAAACACGGACGAACACAGACAGACAAAACTCGGACGGACACAGACAGACAAAACACGGACGGACTCGGACAGACAAACACGGACGGACACAGACAGACAAAACACGGACGGACTCGAACAGAAAACACTCGTGTTATGTCTGTCCGTGTGTGTGCGCTTTGTCTGTCCTCTCATTTGAATATGCCACAGGTAAAACGAGTGGAATCGAACGAGGAAGAAAAGACTGACCATTATTTATAATTTGATGTAGAAAAAAAATGATGAAAAAATCAAAGCGCCCTCTTATTCAGATAGGGCCGATTTGTTTAGAGTTTATTTAAAGTACATTAGAAGTAAGTAGAGTTACCCAAAACACCCTCTTACCTCTACCAGAAAACACAAACTTCTTTTTCAATTCCAACCCCGATCTGAAGAATTATTACACCATCACATAAAAACTCTAGTAGAATTGTTTTAGTATACAGACCCCCTAATATCAAAGATTTAATAACTAGAAAGCTGATTAACACATTACAAACAATTTCCCATGGTAATGTAATAATTATAGGAGATTTTAATTTCAATTCAAACATCATTGATTGGAAATCCCTTACTGCTAGTAACCAAATGGGAAAAGAATTTCTAGAATTTTTAAGTAATTTTAATTATTCCAATAATATTTTTACTTCTACACATTGCAAGGGTAGTACCTTAGATCTTATTTTAACTAATAATTCTTCATGTTTCGAAACTTCTGTTATAGAAGGACTTTCTACATCTGATCATTTTTCTATTAAATTTTTCATCGAAGCTCTCCCGCCACCACACCAAATAATCAAATATAGGGACCTTTCTAATATTAATTTATTAAATACCCACCTAATAAGAAACTTTGATAAAATCTATGAAAACTTTTTTATTTCTGATAAATATTCATTTATTGCTAAAACTATTAATGAATTATTGGAAATTTATGCTCCTATTCGTAACACTATTGTTAAACCTTTTAAGCCTAAATATCCACAATATATTAAAAAATTAATAAAAGACAAAGAACGAATATTTAAAGCTTATAAAAAAGACAATTCTATAGACTTAAACCAATACAAGAATTTGACTAAAACTATTAAACATCTTATAAATAATTATCAGTCACAACGTATAAAAAATTTAGTTTCTAATCAAAATAACCTGTTTAAATTTTTAAATAAATTTAACTGTAAAAAATCTCAATTATCTTGTATTGAATTAAATAACAAATTTATATTTGAAGATAAAGCTAAAGCTGATGCATTCGCTTCTGTTTTTTCCAAGTCTTTTTCAAATATTCCAACTTCCGTTTGTCCTAAGCTAACAAATTACAATATTAATTCATTCTTGGATGACTTCGAATTTAGCATATTAGACATTGATAACATTCTAAAATCACTACCAAATAATAATTGTGCTTCAGATGATAATTTAAGCTATAATATCCTAAAATCATGTCGTTCTGCTATATCTCCTTTTCTATCAGATCTTTTTAGAGAATCACTGGACTCAGGTAACATTCCTGATCTATGGAAAATTTCTCATATTACTCCTATTTTTAAAAAAGGTTCAAAAACTGACCCGTCTAACTATAGACCAATAGCTATAACCTCTGCCATAAGTAGAGTCATGGAACGATTAATACTTAATCACATTATTGAACATCTTAACGTTAACAATATTATTGTTGATAGTCAATTTGGATTCATGAAAAAACGCTCGACTACCCTTCAAATGCTGTCTAACTTCAATTGCTGGTATGATGCTATCTTGAACAACAAAATAATCGATTGTATTTTCATTGATATAAAAAGTGCATTTGACTCAGTCCCCATAAAATTTTTAATTAATAAGTTACATACCATTGGTATAAGAGGTAAAGTACTAAATTGGATTTCTAATTTTTTAATTCACCGTACAGCCAAAGTTAAAATTAACAATCAATTTTCGGAAACTATTCAATTATACTCCGGTGTGCCTCAAGGCACAATCTTAGCTCCTGTTCTCTTTATTATATACATCAATGACTTATCAAGCTCTATTCCTACCTCTATCAACAGCTCACTTTTTGCAGATGATCTTAAGATTTATCAATGTCGTAATAAAAATGATTCATCTAATCTTCAATCAAGTTTAGATAAAATTTCTAAATGGTGTTCTGAAAATGCTCTAGAAATCTCTTTTAATAAAACTCTAGTTTTACATATTGGTACTAATAATCCTAAACATAACTACTATTTCAATGGTTTACCATTGAAATGTGTTTCTACAATCTCAGATCTAGGAATTGATTATACAGATAATTTATCTTTTGAACCTTATTATACAAAAATTGTAAAAAATGCCTATTTTAGGGGTATTTCAATCCTTAATAATCTTCACACGTCTAATCCCAAAATTTGGGGTACGGCATTTAAAACATATATTAGGCCAATTTTGGAATATTCTTCAGTTATATGGAATCCCAAAACTAAAAAACATAGAGAAAAATTAGAAAAGGTGCAAAAATGGTATACAAGGGTGGCTCTTTTTAAGTGTAAAATCAACAAGAAAAATTATATCCAAAGATTAAAATTATTTAATCTCGAATCACTGGCCCTCAGAAGAGTTTTATTCGATTTATCAACTATTTTTAAGATCATTAAAAACCACACCCACTTTACTTCTTCACAATTCTTTATGTTATCTGATAGACCTAATAGGAATAAACATAATTATCAAATAAAAGTCGCTCGTAAAACCTCCAAAACTGAACACTGGATCTTTAACAGATCCATTAATCTCTGGAATGCCCTACCTATAGAGATTGTCAACATTGATAATTATAAGATATTTTGGAACACCCTAAGATCCTACCTTATCGAACTAGAAAGTACCAATAATAGCCTTCTTTATTATCGTTATTGATATTAATATATCAAAACTTACTTTACCCCCACCTACCCACTCCCCCCCACCTACCCACTCCCCCCACCTACCCACTCCCTCCACCTACCCTCTCCCTCTACCTACCTTCTCCCCCCACCTACCCACTTCCTCCACCTACCCTCTCCCTCCACCTACCCTCTCCCTCCACCTACCCTCTCCCCCCTCTTCTCTCCCATCTAGCTTATATACTTGATTTTTTTATATACCAATAATAATCGTCTTTACTATCGATATTAATATTTCCCCAAACCATAACCCAGTTCAAATAATAATACTTTTTAAGGCTTTAAAACGGCTGTTTATTGCTTTGTGGCGTTTTGTTTACTTAGTACTCAAAAGTCCCAATCAATATTCATAAATTACTTTTTATTTTATTTTTTTTTCGTTGTCGGGACCTTAGTGTTTTTTCATTTTTTTTCAAATTTTAATTAATTTTTTTTACATTTTAAGATTTATTCTTTAAGAATCAAATCTATTTCTTAAATTTTTATTTAAGAACCATGGACATTGGGCCTATTACTTTCAAAGCACAAAAATAAAAAAAACTGCTTCTTAACCTAATATTAATTTATTACATGTCCATGGTTCTTAAATTTCCATTTTTTATTGACTTCAATATATCTTGTTTCCTAGACATTATTTTTTTATTTTTAAATTTTAATTGATTTTTTAATTTAAGATTTATTATTTAAGGATCAAATTTATTTATTAAATTCTTGTTCAAAAACCATGGTCAATGTTCCTATTACTTTCAAAACACTTAAAGATAAAAGAACTGCTTTTTAAGCTAATATTAATTTATTACATGTCCATGGTTTTTAAATTTCCATTTTTTTTTATTGACTTCAATATGTTTTGTTTCCTAGACATTATTTTTTTTTTACTTTTAAATTTTAATTGATTTTTTTTAAATTTAAGATTTATTATTTAAGAATCAAATTTATTTCTTAAATTTTAATTCAAAAACCATGGTCAATGTTCCTATTCCTTCCAAAACACCAAAAAATAAAAGAACCGCTTCTGAAGCAAATACAAATTCAATTACATTCCCATGGTTTTTAAATTTTGTTTTTTACTTATTGACTTCATTATTAATTGTTTCTGATTTAAGAGGCTCCTCTGTGAGTCCATTCGGATAAAAGTTATATATTCAAAAGCCCATTGAAAAGCCGAGGCCTTAAACAGGTATAAAAAAGTGGATGCCTAATAAACTTAATACTTGATCAGCCCTATTACAATTTCTTCAAATAAATTTTTATTAGATAATATACAAAACATTTTTTAAATTTCATTTTTTGATTTTCCTAAGAAATTTTCAGTTTCTTCTTCTATTGCACCTTCCTTTTCCACATTTTCTTCTTTATTTTCCTCTTCTTGTACCTTTTCCTTTTCTCCATAAATTTTTAAAAATAAATTTCTGACAGGTCTAATTACAGAACAATCCAAAACAAAAGAAAATAAAAAAGAACAAACAAAAATTCCAATAAAAGAAAGCAAAGAAGATAAAGGGGTTGTGTGTACTGGACGATGTAATGAAGCAAATAAAGATAAAGCTATTGGCTCTGATAATAATAAAACAATCAAAACTAATTTGGATAATGGACGAAATACACGCCAACACAATAATTTTGCCAAAACTTTGAAAAAAAAGAAAAATTATTTTTTTTTTTGAATATTCGGCATTTGCGGACATTTTTGGATTTTCGAAGCCTATTTGGGTAATGTTAAGGTTGTATATTGGTATATCTATATAGGTATAATATCTTTACAAAAGTCGGGCAAATTCTCAATATTTTCTAATCCTTTATGGTTCCGAAAATCTGATTCTTGTATTTGTAAAGTTAACAGAATACCACCTAAACTAACTTTGCCATATTCCAAAACAGACTAACAAATGAAGGGAAAACAACAACAAACAAAACTTACCACTTCCTTTTAAATTAGCTTCCAAAAACCCCAAAAAACAAAAAAGCAAAAACGACCAAAAAGGTCTGTGTATAGTCCCATAAATTAAAGAAATAATTGAATCATTAAATATCCAAAAAGGCGCCCACAATATAAACATCATTAAAAATAAAGTTGTTAATAAACCAATTAATGATAGAGCCTTTTTTAAGAAGAAAAATTTAATTTTAGTCGTTCCTCACTATAAGATAACCCAATATTCAATACAAAACTCATTTAAGATATTTTTTAAGTTAGTTTGTCACTGGGTGGTCTAAGCAATCCCTTTTATTTATCTTTATAAGATACAATATTTTAAGCCTCAAAGGGGGTATTTTATAGTGAGATTCGACATTCCTTTTCAAAAATATATTTAATAAAAATAATTTTAGTTAAAATATACTTTAACTAAATGTTGCCATTCATCCCATTTTTGCAGTAAAAATAAAGCAAATAGAAGGCCAATAATTGGAGAACTAGCTCTGGCAAATGGTGTAATCTTTAATTTAAAGGAACTAGCGAAGGTGCTCGCCCTTCGGGCGAGCTCCTCCGCTAGCCATTTCCTAAGTCATAACAAAACTCAAGTCAAATCAACTTATTAGTCATTCTTTGAAAACTTTCTCATGTCCTTTGACTTCCCTAATGGAAAACACATAAAATATCTCATTAATCTTAAAATAAAAAACATTTAAAACACATTTTAATAATCAACTTTTTCAACTATCAAATTCCTATGAAAAACACTTAAACTATCAAATCCATCTAAAACATTAATAAACATCTAAAACTTTATATTTCAATAAATTTTAAAACCATTAAAAACGTAAAACAAAAAAAAACAATCAAAAACACAAATATTTGGGAAGAATGTGTAAAAAAACTAACAAAACAAATGTTGAAATATTGTATGATTTGAAAATAATAGTAATATTATGTACAAATCTTACAATATTCCAGCATTCTTTTGCTAGTTTTGTAGAAAAACATTACTCAAATAATTTTTCTTTTTTTTCAAATAAAATAATCATCCTCTTATATCTTCATCTTTTTTTTCTCCAATTCAGCCTGATCTTGAGCCGTTCTGACTGGAATCCCATGACAATTTCTTGATATCATCCAAAACAATTCATGTGTTGCTTCTCATTTTGAATTTTGAAACTAAAATTTTAAACTTATTTACAATAGAATTTAATTATTTTTATTAACAACTATCAACTATTAACCAACTTTCAAATATTAATTTTCAATTATGATTCAACTATTAACTATTAATTATGATTCAACTATTAACGATGATTCAACTATTAGCTATTAACTAAGATTTCCAATTCTACTCAAGGAATTTAGTTTTTTCATATAAAATAATCATCACTTTACCTTCATCTTATTTGTTTTTTCCAACATTTTCAAAACTTGATAGTTTGAATCCTTGCTTGTTTGATAATTTTCAAAACTTAATAGTTGATAGTTCAGATATCTCTTCAATACTTGATAGCTGCGTAAAATTAAATATTAGAATTAAAAAAATTTTTTTATTACCTTTAGTGTCACGCACTGTTCATAACTTAAATCAGTAAATCCAAACATTAGTACAATCGAAACATTTCCTTCACGAACACTTAAGTCTTTTCTTGTTGTGCATTTACAATAACTATAATTCAAATATTAACTAAGATTTTCAACTTTCAACTATTAACTATCAATATCATTTCAACTATTAACTCGATTTTTAGCTATTAACTATTAACTCAATTTTCAGCTATTAATTATAATTTAACTATTAACTAAGAAAAACACTATTACCTTTTGTGTATAAACATGTTCATAACTTGTATCAGTAAATCGAAACATTAATTCAATCCAAACATTGCCTTCACGAACTCGTCTTTTCTCGGTGTTCATTTACAAAAAAATGGCTCAATAGTATTTATCTTAAATTATAAAATATATAAGGTTTTTTTAAATAAATCGACCTGTTAGATTGTAACAATCTCTAAATAACTCAATTCTAAATCTAAATCTTATTTCAACTCTAATACTAATCTCTATCATCTATTACTTCTCTATACACTACATTCATAACTTTTCTCTCGTTATTAGTTTCTAATAACCTAATTCTTAATGAATTCCAAGATCTAACCCTCGAGAGGGCCACATACAATTGACCGTGACTAAACACGTCTTTGGTCAAATCTATTCCTAATCTTTCTAATGTCTGCCCTTGGGCCTTATTCACCGTCATAGCAAAGGCCAACACCAATGGGAATTGGTGCCTATGCAAATCAAATGGGTACTCTTCATCACAACACAAAGTGATGCGTGGGATATACACCATTTGTCCCGCTCTATCTCCAGTCAAAAGTCTACAAACTATCAAGTTTGGTCTCATTTCTTCGACCAACATTCTAGTTCCATTACACAAACCATTTTCTATATTCAAATTTCTAATCAGCATGACTATAGCATACTTCTTTAATCTTAACTCATGTAAGGGAAACCCATTTGGGCTTAATGAGTTCAAATACTCGTCTAAATACTCGTCTAATACTTGCTTCTCTTCGTTCTCAGCTTTGTCTATGCTCTTGTACAACGTTTCGTTGCCAGGAAGCATAATCAAAACTCTATTATTCAAATCTCTCACGTCGACATTTTTCGGCGCGACAATAGCCATATTTGCCATCTTATTCCAGTCATTATCTATAATCACATTTCCAAAAATCTCTTCAGCTAAGTCACCGTTACTAATAACATCCAGTGGTAATACCAACTGGTCAGTATCAATATTCCGTTTTCCGGAACCAATTTCTAATAAGTCCTTAGCAAATCTTTTTTCAGTTTCTAAAGCTCTCATATTCTTAGTCAACTTGAACTTCCTTACAGAAGCCCAATATTGACTTCTTTTTACTGTCAAATCACAAATCTCGGCTCTAGTGGCATGCTTCTGGATTGGCAAAGTCTGACGAAAATCGCCTGCCATCAGCATAATTTTGCCACCAAATTCTATACTATTATTCATAATCTCTTTCAATTTCAAATCTATAGTTGATAATGCTCTTTTATGAATCATTGGTGCCTCATCACAAATGAACATATCAACATTTTTCAATTCTTCCCATGCTCTTGAGCTTGGGCCTATTTTCGAATTGCTCATATCTAAATTCAAACCAAATCTATTATGCAATGTTCTACCTCCTGGTAAAAGCGTTGCCGCAATACCAGTATAGGCCATATTACTAATTCTCTTATTCATTCCTCTAATCAAATGGACAAGTGTACAAAGTACAAATGTCTTTCCTGATCCACCTGGTCCACTGAGAAAATAGAAAGCCATTTTCCCATCTGGATTGGAGATCCTATTCAAAATCTCATCTACTATTTCTCTTTGCTCGTCGTTTAGTAGCTCGTAGCTACGACGACCTATATCTAATTCTTCAGCAGCATTAAATTGCTCTTCAATACTATTAACTTGGTCTAAATCTAAACAATCCAGGTGGTTAATACCATCTAGTTGTTTCATAGTAGGAAAATCAGCAATTGATTTACCTGCCTCCAATATTCTTTTTACTATATCTATAAACGCTTTTCTATATGCAAGTTCAATACTAAGATTTTTTGCAAAATCCTCTGACAAAGCATCCTTGAACAAAGCCCAAAGTTCTTCGGGTTTTGCAGGATTGCAATGCACTAAAATCAAGGCAAATAACTCTCTCAATTTCCAAGGCATTTCGAAGTTGTTAGCTTCTTCTAATGCCTTCTTCCACTCATCATCATCTCTAATCAAACCTCTGGCTAAACATGCTTCCGCGAAGGTTGCACATTTTCTAATATTCAATATCAAATTATCTAATCTTTTTACAGTTCTCAAATCTTCATAGCTTGTAGCTCCTTTCACATTCAACAACAACAGCCGTAAGTGATAGCGTTCGGTTTCGGCTGGCGAAACCTTGACCATCCGACCAATTGTGTTGAAATGTGTCTTTCTCTCATTCCAAATTCCTTTTCTAAACACAAACTTCTCGGGAATCTCGTGATAAAAAAGATTCCGAGCTAGAGCACTATTCTTATTCAATTCAAAATATCCAATCAATTCAGAGTCATTTTCAATCTTTTCTCTAATCTCTTGCTCAGTCATATTCTCGTCGAAATAACACACGTGTTCACCGTCCAGATGGACAGGCAAAGTTGTGATGCTATGACTACGATCATATGTCTCAAATTCTAAAATTCTCCACACGGCCTCCTGCGGACAGACGTACCGTGCGTCTATAAATTCTTTAATCTCGTCACAATCATTTTTCTCTTCATAATTCATTGTAGCTCTATCTGGTAACTTGTGAACATATTTATGCAAATATTTCACAGAGGTCACACTGTTCACTTTCTCCACATTAATGTGGCAATTAAACATCTTTAACAAATAAGGGTTGTGTGGAACAACCCATCTATTATCAAGTTCATATCTCTTTCCTGCTGCAGATATTTCAACAGTTCTTCCATCTTTAGGTCTCGCATATAATGCTAAACCATTATCTAATACTAAAGTCTCTTGTTGAAAGGGTTTGGGATAACCCTTTGAACAACTTTTTATCTTTTTTCCATTCACTATTTTCTCTTCCATGCATGGGCAATTTGGATTCAAATCACCACATGGTCCATGGATCATAAACTTTTTGACTAATTCAAACAATTCATTATCTTTGTCTTTGTCAGGTAGTCTAGCACTAATTCCTCTATTCTCAACATCTTGAGAACTTGTTACTTTATCAAGCAAAGTCAAAAGCAAATGGATGTGCGGTAGTCCCCGTCCTTGGTTCTCTACCGGATACATCCAACAAATATCTCTGCCAAAAATTTTGGCCTTAGTTATCTCTTTCATCAATGCTTTAACTTTTAGATAGAATACTCTATCTACTATATCAGGTCTATCTGAAGGCACTTGTCCTTCATACAAATTCTCTTTAATCTCCTCCCATTGCGAATTGCAAGTCATTGTGACGAAAAGATCCGGTTTCCCGAACTTTCGCACTAATGACATTGCATCCTGGAAGTGCTTTTCTATATATCTCGGCGAGTTGGTCACCGTCGGAGGCAAAATAACTTTACGCCCCAACGGCTTTCCAGTTTCTCTCGCCCTTTTTTCTAAGTAACTGTCAACGTTCTTATAGGCATCAGCCAAGATCGTTTTCTGGTTACCTCTAATCCATCTCATTCTATCACTTTCAATCTTGACATATTCATCAACACAATACTGTTGAAAGAGTTTTCCCCCATAAAGAATGGGGTTAAACTCATTCCTAACTCCAATACTATAACTAACATACTGAAGTCTAGTCACTCTTCTAATACTATTTTTTGTCTAATATCTGGATGCCACCCTAACGTACCACGCGGAAAAAACAGCGGGTATGTCATGGGTGATACTAACTGGTTAGTATTATCCAGAATTCTAAGTTCTTTTCCTTTTTCTCGTACTACAATCTTAGCATTAGGCATTTCGCCATCTGCTCCAGGCACATAAACTGCTGCTACTTCATTAGCTCTTGGTACATTGTACCCTAATCTCCTGTCTAAGTTGGTTTTTGTATCAAACAAAAGACTAACCTCGACAGGAGGTCTATTTTCAAGTCTAGATCTTTCTTTTTCTTCATCCTCTTCATCCTTCATCATCCTGTATGCTTGCGCAAACGGGTTGATGTCTTTTATCAATTCATAAACATTTTTTAACAAACTCTGATTTATGACAGGGTTTGCTCTATTCATTGCACTAAGCGCTTGTTCTGTATCAACAATAAAGACTTGCCCATAAGCAGGCTCGTCTCCATCATCTGGATTCAATGCTAAGTTCAATTTATGATAAATCTGACCACATATGCGAAAGCAATATGGGCCTCTATTACTTGGATATCTATATCTAAGCGGATTCATGGAAGCCATGGAAACGCTACTATTCAAATTTCTAATACAATCAAAAAAGTTCTTGTATCTTGTATCAATTCTCAAAAACAAATTTTTCAGTAAAACTGGAAAATTGCTTTCTGGTATCAAATTCAAATTCACTTTACCATGATGGCAACAATTATTAAAGGAATTTCCTTTATTTCCAATCTTCTCTTCCGGAAAATGCAGTGCACCACAGTGGGTACACTCAACATTCATCCTTCCGAGTCTATTCACAATCACATTTCGATGATCACCGGCTGCGAACAACCGGATCTCATCTCTAAGTCTATTTCTATATCTATTTCTATATCTAATTCTTTCTTGTTCCAATCGTTGTTCATTTTCCTCTTCATCTTCATTTTCTCTTCTAATTCTCTTTCTAATCATATCTTGTTCCAATCGTTGTTCAGTTTCTTTTTCATCTTCATTTTCTCTTCTAATTCTCTGTCTAATCATTTGTTGTTCCAATCGTTGTTCAGTTTCTTCTTCATCTTCATTTTCTCTTCTGATTTTCTGCCTAATCGTCTGTTGTTCTAAACGTTCCATTCTTCGTTGTTGTGATTCATTTTCACGATTCTTTCTTTTGCGTTCTCTATCTTTATCAAGTCTTTGATTTCTTCTTTCCAGATTTTCTCTTTGCATATCATCAAAATTATTTTGAGCATTGTTTTGACTGGTTGAAGGGATATCGTCAATATCATCCAATACAATTCTTATATTGCCTCTCATTTTTATTTAATAAGACTAAAATTTAAAAATAAATCAACTATTAATTATTAACTATCAACTATTAACTCATCAACTGATAACCAAGATTTTCAACTTTGAATGTCAGCTATTAACTGTTAATCATCAACTTAATTTTTAACTATTAACTATTTTACTATATACTTTTTATATATTTTTTACTATATACTATAACTTTTTTACTATATATATATATACTACTGTTAGTTAATAATTAATAGTAAAAGAACTTTTTTACTACATATACTACAACTTTTAGTTAATAGTTAATAGTAAAAGAAATTTTTTACTATATATACTACAGCTGTTAGTTAATAGTAAAAGAACTTTACTATATATACTACAACTGTTAGTTAATAGTTAATAGTAAAAGAACTTTTTTACTATATACTACAACTGTTATACTACAACTGTTAGTCACTCTAGTACTATCAACTATTTAGTGTCACACAATGTCAAACTTTAGGATAAATTATAAGCTATTTAGTATCAGAAAATGTCAGAATCTAGTACTATCAATTAGTTAGTATCACACACTGCCAAACTATCTAGTACTACCAAATATCTAGTATCACACAATGTCAAACGCTAGTCAAAGTCAGCTATTTGGTATCACATAATTGGTATCACACTGTGTCGACATTGCTAGTACTATGAATTATCAGCTATTTAGTATCACAAAATGTCAAACTCTAGTATTATCAATCATCACACAATGCCAAACTACTTAGTACTACCAACTATCTAGTTCACACAATGTCAAACGCTAGTTAAAGTCAACTATTTGGTATCACAATATCAAACAATCTACTACTAAAAACTTTTGTATTACACTGGCAAACTCAAAAACTAAGACCTACCTAAAATTATGTAAAAAAACAAAACTCACAATAAAGCCACCGGCTAGACACTCGCTTTGAAATAGAAGATCAGCACCGAAAACAACCTGTTGGACAATCAATTTGTTTAAATAAATGATTTTTTTGATTTTGAATCTAAAAACAATTTTTAAATAAAACAAATTTTAACAAATAAAAAAACAAAACAATCAAACCACATCTTAAATACAATTAACAAACAAAAAAACAAAAAAAAATTGCCAAAAAAATAAAAAAAAAATAAAAAATTCAACAAAAAAAAAAAGAAAAACAAATTCTAAAAAATTCACATTCTTTCTTTACTTCTCTAAACACACACTATTTTTCATTTTGGGATATTTTGTCATTTTCAATTAAAAAATAAACACAACGCCAAACACAGCAAAATTCAAAGCTGCGGACAAACAAACAGACAAAGCATTCTAAAATTTAATATAGGATTATTTTCTGTTTTGTTTAAGTGCTATTAAATGACTAAAAACGAAAAGCAGATTTTATCAAATGACGAAAGATATCGAAACTATACCCCCCCCCCCCCCCCACCGTTAAGTTTTTCTATGTATAAATAAACATTTGTGAAAGAAAAAAGTGTAAGTAAAACTGAGATTTACGTAAAATTTGTGATAACGCTTAAAAAGCTCCCCTACCCACTGGTCAATTAATTTTAAAAAGATTTGTTGACCCTATCTGAATAAGAGGGCGCTTTGATTTTTTTCATCATTTTTTTCCTACCTTAATATATAAATAATGGTCAGTCTTTTCTTCCTCGTTCGATTCCACTCTTTTTACCTGTGGCATATTCAAATGAAAGGACAGACAAAACATGGACGGATTCAAAGAGGAAGAAAAGACTGACCACGGACGGACTCGGACAGACAAAACACGGACGGACACAGACAGACAAAACACGGACGGACAGACAAAACACAGACAGACAAAACACAGACGGACAACAAACACGGACGGACAGAAACACGGACGAACACAGACAGACAAACACGGACGAACACAGACAGACAAAACTCGGACGGACACAGACAGACAAAACACGGACGGACTCGGACAGACAAACACGGACGGACACAGACAGACAAAACACGGACGGACTCGAACAGAAAACACTCGTGTTATGTCTGTCCGTGTGTGTGCGCTTTGTCTGTCCTCTCATTTGAATATGCCACAGGTAAAACGAGTGGAATCGAACGAGGAAGAAAAGACTGACCATTATTTATAATTTGATGTAGAAAAAAAATGATGAAAAAATCAAAGCGCCCTCTTATTCAGATAGGGCCGATTTGTTTAGAGTTTATTTAAAGTACATTAGAAGTAAGTAGAGTTACCCAAAACACCCTCTTACCTCTACCAGAAAACACAAACTTCTTTTTCAATTCCAACCCCGATCTGAAGAATTTAGTCAAAAGAACCCCCCCCCCCCCCCAATCCTAATCCCTTTATTTACAGCTTTAATTAATTTAAACATTAATTACCAAAAAATTAGCAAAAGGTGCAAAATCTTCAATTTCCATTCTCAAATGTGGAATAAGTGTTGGGGGAAATTTAAATAAAAATCCAAAAAATAAAAATAATAAATTGCTTAGAATTAATCCAGAAATTAACAAAATTAAAATTGAACGTCTATATCCATTTGAAATTAAATAGAAAATTGGAAGAAATAAAAATAAAATAAATTGAGCTTCTAATGATATTAAATGGCCAAAATTTAAACACTAAAAATTAAAATATTAATTTAAAAATAAAATTTGTTTTGACTAAAAAATGTGAGGGCGCTGTTTAAACATTAACTCTCATTTCGTGTATACAATTTCAACGTCATCCGGTATTTAAAACCGAGGCCGACATATAATTTTCAGTTAAAGTTAAGGGATGGTTTTACTTTATTTTTATCAAATATTTAACGATGGATGCTAAAAATAAAAAATAAACTCTAATAACTAAACTGTCTCTCTCGTACTTTTAATAATTCTCCCAAATTTTAAGAAAGTTTATTTTCTGAACAAAAATTGTCCAAAAAATTTGATAAAAAAGGACTGAGAAATTAATTTTTAAAAAATATTTATTTATCTTTCCTCAACTTTATATTTAATTAATAAACTTACAGTATGAGAATATCCCAACAAATTTTGTATCTTAAAAATTAAAAAAATTTTATTTTTAAAAAAAATTTTACAAAAAATATATTTTCTGGCCAATTATTTGAACATCTTTTTGCAATATCAGTTCTAGACCACATTGGCCCTTCACCCAAATGGGCAAATACAAAAGCCATTGAAAGCGTTATTAATGCATATATTGGCCAGATTCTTTTTAAAATAGGTAAATTAATTTTTATAAAAATATATTGTCGTTGGATGTAACGAGGAATTTAAGGGTTTCTTTAATCAGTTCCTACATCCAGTGGATACATCCAAAGTTTAAAAAAAGTATATTAAATAGAAGTGTGCTTTTTATTGGGGGTTTCTTATAAGGGAGGTTTTGATGATAATTATCCAAATTTATCCTCCACCCTTTTGTTTCTCTTCTGTTCACCAACCTAAGAAATCTTCTCCAAACAATTTGAATTAGTGAACGTTTAGGACATCGTTTACTTTCATTTACCGCTAACTGAAATAAATCTAAAGCTAAAAGAGTGTCCGCTAATAAAGTTGGGTTTAAGGCAATTTGTGCCGGCCATTTTTCCAATAAAGCATAATGATGGCCAGTATTTTCTTTGAAATAATTTTTAAAAAATAAATTAATTTTAAATTACCCAAATAAGGAAGGACAAGTACTTGAGATTGGCCTAAAACCAATAAAGAGGCAGCAATAACCTTTAAATAAAAAGTGTCAGTTGTGTCTATTTGGTGTAGTTGGTAAAGGCTAAGATAATTAATTTTTGAGGGAGGGGGTTCGAGTCCGTTTGGGGAGAAGTAGTTTTTTTGAACAATTTTACTTAACAAAAATATATTTTTTTTAATTTAAAAAATTTCAAAAAAAATTTTTTTACTTGAATTCCATGAATTGATTGAAAACGTTGATTGTCTTTTGGTTGTGTTGTCCTAAGAGAATGCCTTAAATGTATTTGAAGACAAAAAGCGTCAAATATCGGAGGAAATTGTAAATGATGAAACCAACGAAAGGCAGAAACAAACAACAAAAGAGACAACCAAAGAAGCAAAATTCCAACCAAAATAATACCGACAAGGGGCCATTGCCCTGGTGGTTGACAATTTACTTGGATTGGGTGATGCTCGGCAACATCTATGGAGGAAAATATGTACAGCTAACCTCTGTTTCGTTTAGTGTGTGTTTTTTAAAATGTGATTGGCTATGGTTGGGGGGTTGCCCACATTATGCTTTATTAATAGTACATCTACTTTTAGTTCACAACTAAATTTAGTGTAATGTATAATTTTGTTTTCATCCCCAAGAACACTTAAAACTGAATTATTTTAAGGAGACATTTCTGTTTCCTCTTTTCTCTTATATGTAATTTTTGATATTAAAAAAATTAGAAACATTCAACAAGTCCCTGAGTTTCTTCTGTTGAACAATTTGCAGGTAAACAAATTCCAAGCACAACTTCTAATGGATCTGTTCCCTTTTCAGGACATTGTTCAGGTCGAATAACCGCTCCAGGTACGTGGAATTCAAGTAAGCAATAACGGCCGTTGAACAAACCTTGACTGTAAAGAAAAAATTTTAATTACTTTTCTTGAAATTTAATTTAATAAGAACCCCCTTCCACTTGAATGCAACAAAATAACAATTTTTCTTGCTGTGTACCGGGGCTGGATTTTCTTCCGCTTCCGCATAATTTCGCTTTTTTAACCCTTCCGCCTTCCGCCTGCCGTTTTTTAAAATGGAAAATTCTCCAGTCCTGTTATATACGTTCCTCAGAACCTCTCTCCTATCCTAAATTACCTTACAAATTCCTTCTTTTTTCAGACAATCTAACAATAAATATCCAAAAACAAAAAAAAAGATTTCAGAGAAAGAAATTCCCAAAAATAGGGAATATTCAAAAGAGGTAAACTTAGACAATCAACACCATTAGAGGACAACATTTTTTGTTTTATTATTTTTAATGTCTTTTAAATTCGATTCCAAAAATTATTTATTGATCTTCTGGAATGGTCCGATTAATCTTGTTTTTCTCCCACAACCATTGCCTCCTCTCTCCCCAATGAAAACCCCCATTATTCCCAACATACTTTTTAAGCCTTTGACACTGTTCATAATCTCCTAGCCAATGATAATTTCCATCACTAATTCCCGACGGCATTTTCCCAACAGAATCTACCCAAGTCATAATCCATTTATTAACATTGTAAAGACGTTCATTTTCTTTTCGACATTTAACACATTGTTCTTTATTTTCTTGTCCAGGGCATTCCTCAGCCTTTAAGGAAGCTACAAAGCCCGTTAATGAACAGAATAAATGGGCGACTTCTGAACGGCATTCTGGTGATATTGTGGATAACCTTAATAGCTACAGTTACGTTTATGTATACATTATACATATTCCTCTCATTTATGTACCCTCTCAGATAAAATTATCTCTTCTAACGAGAAGTTGAATTTTTTAAATTTTTTTAAAGCAAAAATAACCTAGATCCATTTTGACAAAGCCACTCAATTGTTTCCGACGTTCTAATTAATTTTTGAATGGATGGCACACGAAATTGATCCAACGGTTTAGGCCTAGCGGGGATATGTAAAGGACATAGAAGACAACAATAGGAATTGCTTGGTATATACAACAAAAGAAAGGCAAATAAAAATAGTCTTCTTGAAATAATTTTAATTAAGTTATTAACTCAAAACAAGATCGAAAAATAAAAGAGAGATCACATAAACATTGAAAATCTATGGGAAGGGGAATGCTTATTTGAGAAGGGAAAAAGGGGAGTGAATAAAAGGGGAAAATAAAGGGGGGGGGGGGGGTTCTCTCTGGAACAAAACAAAATTTAGGGAAGGAACGGTGTGGGGGAAGTTAATATCCTGCAATTATTTTGTTACAAATTTTCGAGAAACAAAAGAGAAAAAAGGCAAAGAACAAAGAAAGTAACCACCTCTTTTCGATCTTGTCAAAACAAAAATTAATTAATTAATTTACCTAATATTTAACTGTTCTTCAAAAAGTTGCATTATTTTAAATTAATTAAAACGTTGTTAAAAAGCCTAGAGCATACACAGGTGCAAATTTCAAGTCGATAAATGGAAGCAAAGAAGGGGGGAATTGAATGGAGTGAGTGATTGGTAGGAGGATTGAATGCTAAAAATGTTCTCGATTTTCTCATTTATTTTTATTACTTTTCTTTTTTTCATCTGGGTCCAATAAAAATTTTTTTCTTTTTTAATTGATAATGACAGGGACACAATCTCTCCTTTTGAAAATAAATAAGGGGAGGAAGGAGGGGGGGGGGAAGGAAAGATGAACTCATTAATTTATCTTTTATTTTTCTGTCCTTTCTAGTAGTCATATTTTACCTTTTCTTTGTTTTTATAAATTTTATTTTTATTAGAAAAGCGATAAAATGTGATAAATTAAAAGAGAATTTCTAATTAATTTAAAATAAAGAAACATGCTTAAATTTAAGGACAATTCACAGAAAAAGACAATTAACCGACAAAAGTCGATTTATCCGAAAAATTTGGGTGTGTCGATGTTTTTTGGAACGGACTTTATTAGTAATAAATATGTAGCTCTAAGTTTGTTACAGACAAATATTGCTATAAAATAAACCCTTGGGACTGAAATAATCATAATTAAAAATGTATCGGAGGTATCGCTTAAGTTGCTTCATTATCCAATAAATAACCAAATTTTCATGAACGTATCTTAAATAAAGAGGGGCTATACTTAGTTAGTATTGAGAGTATCTTTTAAAGAGGTCAGAGTGTATTAATTTCAATTGAATGATATTTTTTAGGTGAATTGTCAACTTTAAAATGACGGGAATTGAAAATAATGTGACAGTAACTCTACAATTGATAAATTCTGCAAATAAATGAATGCTAAATCAAAAAAACTAAAATTGAATTGTGTATAATAAACTTACATTAAATAATGTATTTTTGTCAGAAATTTTTTTAAAAAGAACACTTACTTAATATTTATAAATTTCTTTATCTATTTTTATTTATCGATAAAAATATTTTTTTAAATTTATGAGTAATACAATTAACATTCGTCAGAAGAAACAGCTAATTTAAAGAAATTATCTCCTTTTCTAGGAAAATAAATACATTTTTGTTAATTGTCGGTTAAAGCAATTGTCCATTGTGCAAATGTCATTTAACCGATTAAACATTTAAACTTGAAAATATTTGGCATTATGTTTCTAATTTTTGATATTGAATGTCGGGGTACAGCCCAAAACAACGCGGGCCAAAACTACGCGACCGAAACTACGCGACCGAAACTACGCAGGCCAAAACTACGCAAGCCCAAAACTACGCACGCCCATAACTACGCAAAACTAACTACGTAGTATATTTACATAATTGAATATTAAACAGTTCATCTAAATTATTAGATATATAAATATTCATCAAATTTATCAAATATAAAGTATTTTTACAAAAAAATTTTCAATAAGATGTGACCAAGCTTAATAAGCAGAAAATATTAAAAGACTATTTGAAAAAAACAATTTTTTATTAATTCTTTAACCTTATACCAACTAGTTTGTAGTAGTAGTACATACTAACTAGTAATAGTCCTAGTAGTCTCATTATACTGAACTAACTAGTACTAGTCTCCTTATACTGAACTGTCAACCCATAGATAAGGGAGGGGTGATTAAAAGTAATGGAATTAGATCAAATTTAAAATATTCGCTATAAATATTGCGCTTTTAGGCGCACAGTTTTACACACATTAAAAATTTTGTCGTGCGTAGTTATGGGCGTGCGTAGTTTTGGGCTTGCGTAGTTTTGGCCTGCGTAGTTTCGGTCGCGTAGTTTCGGTCGCGTAGTTTTGGCCCGCGTTGTTTTGGGCGTGTCCCTGAATGTCGCTGTTTGAGTGCCAACGATTAATCGTTAAGTCATTAATCTTATCAGCTTTTAAGCTAATCCGATCATTATAAAAAAAGTTACAGACGAAAAACTGATTTTTCCTGCCTTTGACGTCGTTTATCAGCGATAATTTTTTGTAGAATGAACAGATCTGATTAGTCCAATTATGAAAAAAGATGCAGAACCCCGAAACCTATCAAATCATATATAAAAATTTCTATAATTTTGATCAAACAAAAAGACACTGAGGCGTCCCCTTCACCAATTTTTCTATTTTTTCGCTAATTATCAGCTGTCTATTTAATTATTTACTAAATTAAATTTGTTTTTTTTAAGATTTGGACATTTTATCTATACAAATTAAATGAATTATTTATAAATAATGCGCTTTACAAGGAAATGTTTTTCTTCAATTTTTGGCACTGCAATATGTAATAAATTAGAGCAATATAGTCAATATAGACCTTCTTCCCTGACTATTCAACAAGTTTAGTTTTTAATTTTAAAAAATATTTTTTTATTTGAAAGTATCTCGATTTTGGACTACATGGGACAGCAAAAACGTCTTTTTCTTTTCTAAAAACAGAGCTTTTGGTTCGTCTCGCCAACATTATGAAGGTAAAAAAACTTCTTTCACTCTCATATTTGTTCTTATTTGGGGAGTATTTCAATTTTTGGGTAAAATTTCGGTATACGACACAGACGCCGATTAAGTCGAATGATATGTCATTCGAAAGAGCTCGTCGAGTTGAGTCGAATGCTGAAAAAATTTTCGCGCGGACTCATAGAGGGGCTGAGATATAGGCCCCCGAAAATCAAAAAACCAAAGGGGGGACCAAGCACTTTTTTTTGGGGTGAAAAATTCGAAAATGCAAATTATACCTCATTCGAAAGAGCTCGTCGAGCTGAGTCGAATGACACCAAAATCAACGAAATCCGACTTGATTGGACAAAGTTATGATCTTTTATTTTAGCTCCTTACCTATGGCGTCTGAGGAGATTTTTGCTGCTACGGAGGCCCCAAATACGTCCAGAGCAAGGGAGATAGGCATAGGTTTTTGTTACGAGCCCAGACCCAGCGCCCGTAGACTCCCCGCGAGGCGCGTGCCGCAAAACCCCGCGCGAAGCGCGGGGTTTTGCACAAGCGCCTCGCCGACGCCCCATAGGTTTAGGTTTTAGTTTTTCTATCGTAACTTTGTCCAAACTTGTACAATCACGATGATTTTGATGTCATTCGACTCAGCTCGAGGAGCTCTTTCGAATGAGCTATTATTTGCATATTCGAATTTTTTACCCCAAAAAAGTGCCTGGTCCCCCCTATGGTTTTTCGATTTTCGGGGGCCTATATCTCAGCCCCTGTATGAGTCCGCACGAAAATTTTTTCACCATTCGACTCAACTCGACGGGCTCTTTCCCAATTTTTGTTAGTTGAATGGGATATGTTGTTCTCCGACGGGAGAACAAAATTCCCCGACGGGAGGGGCAGGCACATAGCCACTATTCCTTCCCTGACTGTGTGCAGGGAAGACTGGAAATTTCTGTGAACTTTTACTGTCAAAATTTAAAATTTTTCTTGAGAAAATTTTTAAAGATAAATTTCGGGGACATGCCCAAGTACAAAACGAACAAGAACAATTTAACTTTTTTACATCTTTTTTTATAGGAGATTGAATTGCTTCCCCCATCGTTGCTTAACACTTCGAGGTTTTAGAACCCCAAAATATTCAAATTATTTTTCAAACTTTTTCAGTGCTCGTCAAGTGTCAGAATGGTACAGGAGATCCTTTCAGGAATTGCTTTGTTTTGAAAGTTCAAAAGGGGACGATCAGGATATATTTAAGTGTGAAGCGATCTCCTAATAACGGGGTACTACAATTATTGTTGCAGATTCAACGATCAGCTCCAAGTCATTTTGAAACGACACAGCAATGTTGTGCAGGTTTGTTTAAATGCCAAAAATATATTTTCGGACCTGAGGGGTTTTTACTAACTTTTTTAGTCTGACAAGACAAGTGACAAAATTCTTGCCAGAATTTCTTATAAAATTCACTTTTCGATTAAGATTTTTATTAAAATTTCTCTTCCTTTTGGGGTTTCCATTTGAAATTCTGGCAATTGTCCTAATCAGCTTATTTTTGAAAATTACCCCCAAGTTTTCCAAAAAAAGTTTATTACCTTTTTTCCAATCAAAAAGACAATGGCAGAGGGTTTAATAGAACTAAAATCATCTGGTGGTGTAGACATTGGAAGTGAACAAAGCATTCAATATTTCCTTGATCGCTTCTATTTGAATCGAATCTCCATTCGAATGCTTCAATATCAACATTTGGTTGTTTTTGGCTCAGTTTTACCAGAATCTCCTAACCATGTTGGATGTATAGATCCAGTTTGTGATGTAACTTCCGTTGTTCAAGATGCCTATGAAAATGCTCGATTTCTCTGTGATCGTTATTATTTGAATGCACCACAATTGGAATTGGATTGTTTAAACGCCCTTTCGCCGGGTAAAAAATTGTCTGTAGTAATTGTGCCGTCACATCTTTACCACATTATGTTTGAATTATTTAAGGTTTGTTATATTTAATGAAGAGGTTTTTCTTTAATTTTTTATATTAGCTATAGGAAAATTTAAAACATAGGAAAAATTAAAAAATTGCTTACTACAATATGTATTGTGCCTTGGGCGTTGAATTTCTCAGCGAATAAATAAAAGAAAGTAGTGAAAGCGAAATCGGAGAGTGGGGGAAATAATAGGGGGATGGCAATTTCTTTATGATTTTTTATCAATATTTTTACCTCTGAAATTTTTTTTAATTTTTAAAGAATGCAATGCGTGCAACGGTGGAACACGTTGGAATGGATGAGGATTTACCTCCTATAAAAGTTAGAGTAGTGCGAGGTAATGAAGATCTCTCAATAAAGGTTTTTAAAATGGAATTTTCTAAAAAAAGGTTTTTATATTTTAAAGTTAAGCGATAAAGGTGGTGGAGTCCCTAGAAGTATTATAAGTCGATTATTCGATTATATGTATAGCACAGCACCACCCCCTCCAAGAGATGGAAGTCAAGCACCTCTTGTATGTTTTTTTTACTTTTAAAAAATATTTTAATTTTTTAGGCTGGTTATGGGTATGGATTGCCTTTGTCTAGGCTTTATGCACGATATTTTCATGGAGATATGTTTCTCGTTTCGATGGAAGGATATGGAACTGACGGTTTTTTACTTAAAACATTATAAATAACAAGGGAGAAAATATTAATATAGGAATTCAGAAAACAAATTTTTTGAGGAGAATTGAGAAAATGACTTTCATTCGTGTTTTGTCGTAGGTTAAAGCCACCACTCGATCGAAACTTATGGAATTTTTTAGTCCCGGTTTCTGCTAAATTCTTGGGATCTGTGGAACTAATTATCATTCTAATCTTTTGGCTTCGTCCTTCTGTTTACTTTTCCATTTTTAGCTTGTGTCTATCTAAAAGCAGTTTCTGTAGAAGCACAAGAAGTACTTCCCATCTTTTCGGCATCTTCTAAACAGCAATTGACACGTGGACCTTTAATTGGTGATTGGACGGGTACAACACATCACCATTTTGGGCCTAGACTATAAAAAAAGTAATAAAAATTCAATCCTCTTTTTTGAATAATCTAAATTCCTTCCCCTTTAATTTTTTTGGTGCTACTTTAAATTTGTAATAATAATTTTCTGACTGTAATTATAATTGATATTTTTTATTTAGAGACTTAAAAATGTTTAGAAAATTTTAAGATTTACTATTAGTCAGAAAATGACTACATCCTCTTAAGTATTAAATTAGAAAAAAGCCCCGGACTCTGGTCAAAATTTGTATTTTTTGGTTTTGTCCTAGTAAAAATCTATTCATTGTATTTAATAGTCCCCAATTTTCGATATTAACACTGGAACTTTAAGTGGATAAATAAAATAAGTTAGAAGATAGGACAGATTTTGTTAGATTTTATTCTTCATTAACCTAAAATTTCAGATTATAACCACAACAAAGTTCCAACGCTTCTATATAATTTAAACGTTTTTATTGTAGATACTCTTGTTTAATTAACTCAAATATAGTAATTTTTATTAAAATATTTAATGAATAAAATTTCAAATATTTTAATAATATTTTTAAATAAATTTTTTTGAATGGGATGAAGTTCCCTAAACTATTTTTTGCAATTAAAATAATTATAAGATAACACAAGTAAATAATTAGTAAGAACTTTTTAACAAATTATTTTCTTTAACCTTTTTTTAGTTAAAAAGGAAATTATCATTCCAGTATACCCTACCCCTCATATCCATTTTGGGGTACAGCCCAAGTAGGCGCGCGGCCATAACGGCGCAAAGCGATAACTTGCTCCAAGATTTCCGAATCTCACCAAATTTAGTATTAAACGATTCCTCTCATCGAGCTAAAGGTATTGGTACCAAATTGATAAAAGACAAATTTTCCAGAAGTTATGGCCGCGCCCTACTTGGGCGTGTCCCCCATTTTCACCATTTTTAATTTGTCGCTATTTAAATTAAATGACAAAATATCCCACCCAATAATTTAATGAGTAATTTTAGGAAATTTTTTAATTTTTTTAGCTAATTGTTCTTTTTAATTTTATTTGTTTTAGATTGTAATTATTTACTAATTGTAATTAGACTTCAAAAAAAGAAATTATAAAATGGTTAATTAATTTAATTTTATTATTTATTTTATATTTATTATTTCAAGGGAGCAACTACATCTTCGCAATTAGAAAAGGACCTTGGGGCAGATCAGGCTTTAGCTAATGAACATTTTTATGGACTTGTTAATGTTTGTTTTTTCTTTAGTTTATTTTTAGCATTTCTCATTTATATTAAACCCTTTAATTTTTACGTGAGCTGTAGTTATCTGTGGGGATTTTCTTGAAAATATTTGTGTATAGACAAATTTAACGATAGATCCTTTTCGATAAAATTATAGACTCTGGTCTTCAACAAATTTTCAAGAGAGAATTTTAGAAATTTACTTCCCACACCTTATTCATTTGATTGCCTCGGCAAAATTTTCTAGCAGTATACTAACACTAAAATTACTTTTCCTCTACCTCTTTGTAAAATTCTTTTAACCTTGTTTCGAAACACAGTTAGACCTGTTCTGTTAATAAGGACAGTAATGATATTAATTAAATATAAAATTAAGTATTTATTGCGCTTATTAAAAGTTAATATTTTTTAGTTTGGCAATACCTGCTATGCAAATTCCGTCATCCAAGCTTTATATTTCTGCAAGCCTTTTCGTGAAAAGATTTTAGCTTATAGACAATCCCATAAAAAATCAGGTTAATTTTTTAAAATTATTTTTATTAAAATATTTTTTAAGGAATTCAAAAAGAGAATTTACTTACTTGTTTAGCCGACCTTTTCTCTAACATTTCTAGTCAAAAGAGACGAGTTGGAACAATTGCCCCAAAAAGATTTGTGACAAAATTGAAACGAGAAAATGGTTTTTTTTACTTTTTTGTGTAACCTCTTCACCTTATTTTCCTTCGTTTTATCTCTGAAAACTAAATAGTCAAAAGCGATTAATTTGAGTAGTTCCCGGAGCTGGTTCAAAATTTCCAATTTTCAACTATTTTTTTAGTTTCAAAAAAGCTTTGGTTGTTCCACAGATAGCAAGGGGGTATAGTCAAAAGCGAGCTTTGGTTGTTCCACAGATTGGTTGTTCCCCCTGAAATGCGATCCTTATTTTGTCCTTACAGGTCATGCTTATTTATGACAATTTCGTTTTCCGTGAAGATTTCAAACCGTCGAGCCGAGCTTTGAAATCCTTATTATTCACACAACTTTTCACGAAAAGCAAAAAGATTAATTAATCCGTTTTGAGCAATTTATAGTAGTCAGATAAAACAGTTAGAAAATAAGGTAGAAGAATTAAAAATGACCCCATAAAGTTTAAAAATTTCAAAAAATTCTTTAATTACAGAATTATTTGACAATTTTATGCAACAAGACGCCCACGAATTTTTTAATTTTTTGTTAAATGCAATATCTGAAGTTTTGGCAGAAGAAAAAAGGAAAGAGCACACAAATGGAAATATCAGTAGCAGAACTGCTAATGGACTAACAAAACGATCAAATTTAGTAACGGCAAATGTTCATGATTACTCTGCTAGGTTTTTTCTTTAAAAATATTTTTTAAATTTAATTTTTAGAAGCACAGATGGTGTCAGACAAGACTTGACTTGGATCCATGAAATCTTTCAAGGGACACTTACAAATGAGACTAGATGTTTAAATTGTGAGACAGTTAGTAGTAAAGATGAAGATTTTCTTGATTTGAGTGTTGATATTGAACAGGTTTTTTTTAATTTTTTAATTATATTTTTATTGATAAGTAAGCAAAATTAATTTTATTTTGTTGGTACTATCTGAAATTGGTTGACGTTTCCCACGATACTTTAAAAAATTTGAGCTTTACCGACGAAAATTTTTACCAATTCATTTATTAAAAGTTTTATTATTACTGACATAAAATTTTAATTAAATTAGTAATTTTTTTAAATTTAGGATGTTTCTATTAGTAATTGTTTGCGCAATTTTTCTAATATGGAAACCCTTTGCGGTGATCAAAAATATTTATGTGAAACTTGTGGAAGCAAACAGGTTAATTTTTGAAAGTAAATTCTTAATTTAAAATTAATTTTAAGGAAGCCCAAAAACGAATGCGAATAGGAAAATTACCAAAATTGTTGGCATTGCATTTGAAACGATTTAAATATGTTGAGACTTTGAATAGACACACAAAGCTTTCTTATAGAGTTCTTTTTCCTATGGAGCTTAGATTACCTAATGTTGTAAGTTTTTTTAATTAAAATTAATTTTGATTTTTTAAGTCGGATCTCTTTATTAAATAACCCAATATTAGATACACTATGCTTTTAATGTTTTTTTTTTAATTTGGGTGGCCATTGGGTAAGGGAGATGTCTAAGCGATATTTTTTATTTAAAATAACCTCATTATAAAAACTAGGAGGATTCAGTCATTACAATAATACCAAACTTCGAGGGCCCATAACTATCCAAAAATAGCCCCTTGCCAAAAATAGTGGCAACTTGGCGACTGAATGATATCAAAAAATACGAAATTAGTTCCTTTATAAACGATAGATACCTTTTATTTAAACTATCCCTCATAAAACATGTCTTTTTTACTTTCGAGAAGATATCTAAAAATGGGGTTTTATATTTATTTTAAAGAAAAGCACCAATGGCGATGCTGATAAAATTTTTGATTTGGTTGCTGTTGTTGTTCATTGTGGTTCAACTCCAAATCGAGGACATTATATAACTTTGGTTAAATCTCATTATTATTGGTTACTTTTTGACGACGACATTGTTGATGTAAATTTTTTTTTTAAAATATTTAAATAAATATTTTTACAATTTCTTAATTGTTGGATCATATAATAATTTGTTTATTAAAAGAAATTTGTTAAAATAATTTTCTGAGATGGTTATTTTAATCTGAATTTTTTAAAATCAAAAAGATTAAACCCTCCTTAAACTCTTTATTTTTTTTAGAAATTAGAAGAATCTTCTATTGAAGATTTTTTTGGATTAGCTGAATCAAATGTACAAAAGAATTCAGAATCTGCATATATTCTCTTTTATCAACAAAGAAATGAGACTTAAATTAATTTTAAAAAATTCTAACCGCTCATTTGTTTTTTGTTTATTAAAAAATTAATTATATATTTTTAGGCCCTCGAAAGAAATTTATATATATTTAATATATGTTTATTATTAGTTTATGTAAATATATTATTTAATTATTTTTTCTTAAATTAATTAAAATTGAAAGTAATTAAATAACAAAAAAATATATTTTTTTATCAAAAAAGCCCAAAACGGTCAAAACCCATTTATCTAGCTCTATTATGACCGAAAAAATGTCTTATAATGGCGAAAACATTAAACAGCCAAATGTTGGATGGTTTTTCTCAAGAAAATATATTACTGAAAACGATGCTTATTTATTTGATAAACAAATAGCTACAATTTGTGCAAATTATGGAAAGATTGGATTTTCTTTTATTACTTACCCAATTGGGGGTATTTATCGGTATAATTGTCAAATAAATAAAAATAGAAATGCTCGGCCTATTCACCTTCCAGGTTTTTTTTGAAAACAATTATTTTATAATGTTATTTGTTAGATTTGCAAATGGGGATTCAATTTTGGCAAAAATATGTTAATTGTGCATTGTCTAGTTGGATTGTAGGTTTTTTAATAAATTTTTTTAATTGGGAAGGAATTTTGTTTTCATTTTTGTCTGTTATAATTATTTGGTAACCACAATGTTTGTACTTATCGGTTAATCCTTTTTATCTACATTTAAGGAAGAGAATGCGTTGATCTGAAGTAAAAACTTCAGGGGATGACCGATAAGTTTTTGGAGTTCTCCGCGCCTATCATAAAAATTTAATTTTAAAAGGCTTGGGGATAATTGATTTCCTTTTAGGATCCAGATTCTCCAGATGAATGGATTGCTGATTTTTCTGCACAAGAATTTAAAAAAGTTTTTTTTCTAAAAATTTTTTTGTAACAAAAATAATTTAGGAAATGGATTATGCTAGATATTTAGGAGTTAATAATGTTTTGATTGAATTGAAACACTCAGAATCTCCAAAATTGGCAAAATTAATTAACAATTTTTTGGATTCTTCTAATTGTGAATTGAGGTTATTCTTTCTTTTAATTTTTTTTAAAATTTTTATTTAAAAGTTTTTGGATTCTTCTCCCAACAAACTCTTATCTTTTTAAAAATGAAGATTGTTGGCTTGTTTGGAGAAATTTTCGAACACTTTGTAATAATTGTAACCATTTATTTGTTGGGTTGGCTTTTACTGAGGATTTGGGGGATGAATTTGCATCTTATAAACAAATACAGAGGTGGAAAGCTGAACCGGTAAAAAATATTTTTTTCGGTATTTTAAAACGAGTGTGAAAACGACTTTGAAAAACAGTTGATTATTTTTGAGGAATCCCCTAGGTTCTTCTCTGCTATAGGACGTCTTTTTCGCTTATCCGCTCATTTTTTCCTTTTTCAGTAAATATAATTAACAAACAAAATTAAAATAATAATTGTTTTAATCTAATTTTTAAGCTTTCTTTTATTCGAATTGACTACTCACTTTTTGTTCGAGGAAATGGATCAGAATTAAAACTTACAGAGTAAATTTAATTTTAAAAATTTAAATAAAATTAATTTAAAGTGTCCATTCAAAATTGCTCAAAAATTTATTTTTAAATAATCAATGTCAACATTTACTTTTATCTTCACTTAATTATGATGAATTAAATGAATTAGTTTTTGAAGAAATGTTAAATGGATCTCTTGATTGTATAAAAGAAAATAATTGTAAAAGAGTAATCGAAGAAGAATTTTTGGATGAATATATGGATGTTTTGCAGGTTTAATTTTTATTCGATGCGATCTTTAATGAAAAATACGAACTGGTACTCATGTTACGCGGTTACTACAACGACATCAGTGTCGAATGCTTTTTCGAGTGTCAAGTATTATGTGTCCCTATCGAAATAAGATAATACATGATATCCCTTGCTCAGTCAGCACTCGCCACGGGTGTCACTTTTTGTTTAAGGAATCTTTAATACGATTTCCCTTGGAAAATATTGAGGAAACCGAACGTGGTAGAAGGATTCCAATTCAATATTCTCTTTTTCAGATTCCCCTTCAACCATTATCTAATAGCCTCGATTCTTCTGTTTATAATACTTTTGAACAAGACAAACCAAAATATTTGCAATACCAAAAAGCAATCAAAACTGCATTAGAAGACCTTTTATTACAAAATTTTGAAAATATTATTTTAATTATTTTGGGTGCTGGAAGAGGGCCTTTAGTTAATGCTTCTCTTTCAGCTATAGCTGAAGCTAGAAAAACTTTTAAATATCAAAAAGAATTTTCTGTTAAAATTTATGCTGTCGAGAAAAATCCAAATGCTATAATTTCTTTACAATATTGCAATGAGGAAAGGTAATTAATTAAATTGTTTTTATGATAAGTTTAGGGGAGGAATGATGGAGAGTACATTTAATTAAGAAAAATTCTTTTATTTTTATTAAGTGGAAATTTAATGTTTTCTTTGTGGAACTGTCTAAATTTTTGAAAAAAAATTATTTTTGTTATAGTTTCTCCTAAACAAAACCCCCTAAACATTTCCATGTTCATTCACAGCAATCCTTGTCCTTTCCTATTTTTCGTTTATTTTGTTCTCTGTTTGTTGGACCTTCGGGAATCTGGATATACAGGCGGGTTTTTTTATCCGCTCCAAAATTATTCAATTAACCACTTGCTCTGGAACAGTCTACTCTTTTTCTATTTTTTACTATTTTAGATGGAAGAATTCTGTTTCCATAATTCAGAGTGATATGCGTTCCCTAACTTTATTTTTAGAATCAAAAGAAATTGAAAAACCAGATATTGTTAGTTTACTTAATATTTTAAATTTAAAGTTAAAAATAAATTTAAAAAAGATTATTAGTGAATTATTGGGATCTTTTGGAGATAATGAACTTTGCCCTGAATGTTTGGATGGAGTTAATAATATTTTGAAAGAAAATACAATTTGTATACCTTCTTCGTATAGAAATTTTTTGAGTGAGGGATTTTTTTTATTTTGAATATTTTTTTTGTAGCACCAATTCAATCTTTACGTTTATATCAAAATATTAGAGATTTGAAAAGTAACAATAAATGTAATCGAGTTAACGAAATGCAAGTTTATTTTATTAAAATATTAATTTGGGTTCCTTAACGATTTTTTAGCTTGAAACATTTGATCCATCCAGTTACTAGTTGATTAAAGTTGGATGACCCTAGTTGTACCCCCAACTCTTTTCCTCTTTTTTTGTTTAAATGAGAAATTATTGTAATAATTCCTTTAAAATATTTATTTTTTCAGAAAAGAATGTTCAGAATTATCAGATCATTTGTATGTTGTTTGTTTAGGTCAATTCTGTTATTTAGACAAAACAAAACATTGTTTTGAATTTTTACATCCAAATTTAACAAATTCTTCAAATTTTCGAGAAGCTTCTTTAAATTTTAGAATTCCAAAAAATTCAGAGGTTTTGACTGAAAAATTATTAAAAAAAATTTTTTTTTAGTTAATGGGATTTGCGGCTCATTTTGAAGTTGTTTTGTATAAAAATATTATTTTAAGTACTCATCCAGAAAGGCACACAGAAAATCTTTTTTCTTGGTAAATAAAATATTTAATTTTTTAATCATTAATTATTCCCCTCTTTGTGAAAAAAATAATGGCACAAGAAAGAGAAGGAATTGGCAAATATGAGGGGAGGGATTGACTTTTTAAGAATTATTTTTTAACAAAATGGGGACCCCTGTTTGCTATTTTCATTAAATTAAATTCTACCATTATTTGAAATTTTTTTTGGTATTCTAAACTGTTTATGTACATCCCGATCTGCCGCAACCAACTTCAAGAACTGAATCGAATAACAAAGCGTCTGAAATTCAATAATTTTGAACATAAAGCCTTGTGATGAAGTTGGCTCGCGGTGAAGGGGTGTAGTGAAATGGAGGAGAAGATTAATATTAAAATTTAATTTTTTAAAAGGTTTCCCGGTCTCTTTCCTCTTCGCAAACTCTTATTTTGTGCAAATGAGTGTAATATTTTATTTAATATAAAAAGAAAATTTGATAAAGAAAAAGTTTGGTATGAATGGTTTATTGAATATGAGGTAAATTAAATTTTATTATTTTAAAAATTGTTTTTTAATAGGAAAATGGGGAATTAATTAAAAGTGAATTGCAAAATGAAAATGGGGAAAGTCAATCAATGAATTTGTCTTAACAATTATTTTTTTATAAAATTTTATGATACTTTTAACAATTATGCTTTTTTTTGATTTCTAATACTTAAAAATGTATGAAGATTGGAATTAAATAAAATTTAATTTATTTACCAATTAATTTAGAAAATAAAGCAAATACACAAACTTGTATTAAAAATCAAAGCTTTACATTGCCTTTAAGTTTAAATAATGACTTCTAAAATTGAATGTACGGTCCCTAATCAAATCGACAGGTATCGAATCCAAGAATCTAGAAGCCATAGAAAATTCACTCACTGAGATTTAAGTCCTACCCGGATCCCTTTAATCTTTACCATCTTCAAGCAAACATTACGAGAACTTTTTTTAGCTTCTGTGTGGTCATAGCTAGGTTAAAATCTTAACTCAGAATAATTAAAAGAAAATAAATCAGAATTTGTCACTCTAGCAAACTCCATTAATTCCTCCCAATTACCACAAGCTAGAAGAAAAAAGTATGTAAAAATTGTTGTTGTTAATATTTTTTTAATTTAAGTTATTAGAAAATGAAGATTGGAATTAAATAAAATTTAATTTATTTACCAATTAATTTAGAAAATAAAGCAAATACACAAACTTGTATTAAAAATCAAAGCTTTACATTGCCTTTAAGTTTAAATAATGACTTCTAAAATTGAATGTACGGTCCCTGACCAAATCGACAGGTATCGAATCCAAAAATCTAGAAGCCATAGAAAATTCACTCACTGAGATTTAAGTCCTACCCGGATCCCTTTAATCTTTACCATCTTCAAGCAAACATTACGAGAACTTTTTTTAGCTTCTGTGTGGTCATAGCTAGGTTAAAATCTTAACTCAGAATAATTAAAAGAAAATAAATCAGAATTTGTCACTCTAGCAAACTCCATTAATTCCTCCCAATTACCACAAGCTAGAAGAAAAAAGTATGTAACAATTTTTTACTTTATTTAAACCCATAATTCTATTTACATATATTTAAGTAACGTAACAATTTAAAAACAATTTTTGTTTATTAATCCAAACAGATAATTTTTCAACAGATTCACTAACCGATAATTTCAATTCATTTATGTGTAATAACTTAAATTAAAAAAATATTAACAACAACAACCCCCCCCCCCTTCCTCCACTTACCAAAAGTTGAATAGCAGAAACAAAGTTTTGACTAATATTTGATGTTCCATTGAATGTTGAAAGTTGTTTTGTTTGAATAAAAAGCCAATTTACTTTAAAAAAAATTTTGAAAAAAATAAAAAAAAATTATTTACAAATTCGTTCAAGTTCTGAATCTTTTGAGATAGACATAATTGCTGCAGATGCTAAAGCTTTAATTGAATAAGCAGGAATATAGAGAAGTAATGTTAACTAAAAAAAGAAGAAAAAGTTAAAAAAATTATTCTTTAATTTTTACCAAATTAGGCAAAAATGGCTGCAAAGAATAGTGAAAATCATCATTTAAACTTGAAATATGAGGTCGAAGATGAGTTAAAGTAATAAGCAAAGGAAATGCAAGAAATAAATGTTTACATCCAAATTGAGGAATTTTGTTATTTTTTTCATCAAGTCCATCAGATATATAAGACATTTGTGAAAGGAAAAATTCATACAAAGATGGATATCTTTTTAAAAAATTAAATCAAGTTAAATTTAAAGTACACTTGGGAGTCTTGGGAGTAGAGACATTGGTCTTATAAAGAGAGGTACCTTTGAGAGCTCGGTCCCCATTATGGTTTTACGATTTTCAAGTGACAAATCTCGATCCTTAGGTACCGGATTAACTCCGACCACCCCTAGTTCGATTCAGTTTCTGAACATTTTTGAATATGTTTTTTCTATTGTTTTAATTACTGGTAGTTCCCAAATTAAAAAGTATTTAGTATTGGGGGTATCTCTTATAGCAAAGTCTGGCTCTTTAAAAAACAAAGTTAGTTATTCCATTCCTCTACCTTTTAAAAAATTCATTTGATGTTTGTTTACATCGGGTTTCAATGTGTAAAGTTCGTCTTTCTACTGATGGTGTTCCAAAAATACGTTTAATAAGAGCAGCAAAAAGTTGAGTGTGTGCATTTCTAACCTGCCAAATTTCTGAAGATGATCCATTAATTGTAAGACGGAATGCGCATTCAATATGAGGAAGAACAAGCTCTGCAAATTTTGAATGCATGAAAAGAAGGCGGAGAACGTTAATGCAATGGATTCTGAAGGGAGGAAAAATGATTAAAGTATTAATACCCTCGGATACACCCCAATATAAGATGCGCTCCAAGTGTGTATTTTATAGGGATGTTGCGGAGTGAGAAAAAAGTCGAGTCAGGTTTAGGGCAATCCGTGACATCCCTGGCATCTTATAATGAGATCTCTGACCTCCTTACTCTAATTCAGAATTTTGACGTTCACTGCAAGCCAAAAGCTGCCTCATTGTTTGATGAAATAAACCATGTTCATCATTCAAATCATTTATTGGAGCATTTTCTAAAAGTGAGGCGATTAAATGAGGCAATCCAGCACTTCTCCTTGTAACACAAAGTTTTTGACTGTCTTTAAATAAAAAAAATTAAACTAAAAATGTAAAGAAATTTGGAAAAAAAATCGAGTGTATCTAATTATTGAGGGTATCTGTTAGGTAGGTTTTCCTGTCCAGTTGCCTCCTTATGAGGTGTAATTAGGGTTGGCGATACCTGGGAAAGCTTCTGATATCCGAAACTGAATTAAAAATTCCCGGATACCTGGACTGTTTTCGGTTCAGAATACCTGGTATAGCAAACCCTAGTATCTACTATTGAGTGTATATAAAATTGAGGACAGCCTATATTTTATAAAAATTATGTAACATACCATCCTTCCCAGTTAATGCATCCAAAATTTGTTTTAACCATTGCCTTGGACTATAAGGAAAAAGTGTTGTTTTATCGTAGCCTTCAATTTGAGATTCCTCATCACAGAGTGCCCAAAGGCGAGGACATACAACAGTAGTAAATTCATTAGAAGCAGCTTCAAAAGCCCCACGGTGTCTACATTCTGTCAATTTTTGCCAAAAATAAAAAGCAATTTGGGAAAGAAAAAAATTAAAATCATTTTTTGAGAAACGTGAAGAAAAAATTGGTGAAGTTAAGTATTGAATGAAAATATATGAAATAATTCCGCTAATTGATTTGTGTGCACGAAAACAAGTTCTTGATAGTTGTTGAGCATAAATATTGTAATCTGAAATAATAAAACATGAAATTTTTTAGTCCGAAAAATACACAGAAACTTAGCAAGGAACCAAAATGAATTTTTTTTATTGATGTGGGGGGTTTCGTTCTTTATTTATTTTCTCTATAGAATTAAAAATTGTTTGTCCGCAACGGACTCGAACCTTCAACCCTTTAGGAACACGCCCTTGGAGAAGCTGCTCTGAAAAGGGTGGTAGTTTCATTTTGGTTAATCGAAACAAACCAAAAAATCTTTGTTTGAAACTGACAACCCTAATTGTAAATAATAGAATAATTAAACACCTTTTACACATAGAGAAGCATCATCCATGCTAGGCATAAATCCCTCAGGAGATAATGAATAAACAACGGGAGAGATGATTTTATCAACATCAAGGCATAATGAATAAATTCTTTTTATCAATAATAAATCTTTAAAATAAAATTGAATTAAAATTAAATTTTAATTATAAAAACCATTATCCAAAATTCCAAACTTGACAAATGGAAGGGAGACGTGTAAAGCATTAATCAAAGCATGTAATTGAGGTGGATCCAAAAATCCTTCCAAAAAATAATTTTCTTTCCCTTTACTTGTCTGTGTTACATTAGAACAACTATTTTCAGACAAAGTTAATAAAGTCTCGATAAAATTAATTTGGGATTTAAGCTCCATTCGAGGAAGAATAAATTGGAGCCTGTTAAAGAAATTTAAAAATTAATAGATTAGAAAATACCAAAAGGTGGAGGAACAAAATGATGTGTCTTCCTCCCCAATCTCTAGAGGAGGGATAGGAAGAGCTGGAGACCCGTCTTCTCTCAAAAAATAATGAAAAAAAAAGAAATGCATGGAGAAGAATGATTTTAAAAAATACAATTTTATCGAATATGATTTTTTAATTAAAATTTATAAATTTTACATAGTCTTTCAAAACCTTTCCCCCTTAGGTAAGCTCTTAAAAAATACTTGAGAAATAATTAAATTACCTATATTTAATTGCTTGTTGGTGTCGAGGCATGTTAGGTCTCACACTTAAAAATAACCACTCTTCGTCAGAAATTTGTGAATAAAAATTTTGTTGAAGCCAACCAATAGTCTCAAAATGATTTAACAAATTCAAGGCAATTTTCTAAAAATTATCGAAATTTTAAACGTTAAAAACTTTATTTTTAAACCTGACAAGCTTCAAATTGATCATCTAATGAATAAAATAATTTTTGTTGTTCCTCCTTTCCAATCCAATGTTTTAAATCCAAAAATGTTGAAAATGGATCTGATTCAAAAGAAATAGAGGGATTGAAAATAAGCGAAATAAGAGTTAAAGCTGATATTCTTGTAGCAAAAGGAGTGCTATTTTCTTCATCATTTTCTTCTTCTCCTTCATAATCATCATCAATCTCATTCTCTTCAGTGTTTTCATCTTTGATTCCTAAAATAAAATCAAACTCTCTCAAAATAATATACACTTCAATTTAAGTATGTTTTTCATTTGGTTGGTTACTGTGGGAGAAATATAGAAATAATTATTCCGTAATTTAAGGTATTAATTTAGGGCTCGGAAGTAATTAAAAAAAGTTACAAACAAAATTTAATATTTAAATTTCTCACCATTTGTTAAACTAAATTCGGAAAGTTCATCCCCAACATTTATTTCTATATTCGAATCCAAAGTTAAACTTTCCACTAATTTTTTATGCCAATCAGGATCAGCTATAAAAATAAATAAATAAAATTAATTTTTTTAAATTGATTATATAAACAAACATATAAATTCAAAAGCAAGTTTACAAAGCCAAAACAAAAACTCTTTGTAAATTTTAAGTTGAATATTAGCTTCAGAATTATTTTGTAGCAATTTTAGTAAAGATTTGGAGTGTTCCCTAATACGCGAAATAAGCTAAAAATAAAAAAAATTTTTGGAAAATAATTTTTAGATACCTTTCCCAATTGACAAAAAATTGCCTGACGTTTAGCCGGCGTTTTTAAATCCATAGCACCAGAAACCAAAAATTTCTTTGCCAACTCAATTTCTAATAAAAAATAATTAAAAAAATTTTTTTTTAATCCCCAAACTTGCCTGTTTGAGAAACTGGCTGGGAGCCCTTTGGATGAGAACAGAGCAATGACCAAGCAGCTAAACGTGTCTGCATAAACCAAAAATTTTGAAAAAAAAATTTTAACGCCAAAAAATAACCTCAAAATCTTTATCCATTAATGCATCAAACATTTCCTTGTCTGCTTGTTCTTCGCCAACATGCCTTACCGATAATTCTTTCCAGTCAATAGTCTGACCATTTTGAATTTCATATAAGTGAACAATTGCCAAGCGAAGTAAAACACAAAGTGCACGTTTTGAGTGAGCAGAAGAACGTGAAAAATCTGGAAAGTATCCTCGTATAGAATTAGTTAAACAATCAAAACCACACTTTCAGATACCCCCCCCCCCCCCACTTGTAGCTTAAAAAATACCCTTTATTGGAGCCGTCGTTTTGGCGGTTACACACAACCCGGGGAGGCTACAATTTTAGATACTCAATCCGTGAATGAAAACGATCCAATAATGAGGGGTACTTTATATCGGGAGCGACGCTTGGGTCTCCTTCATCAGTGAAAAAATAAATCTTGAGTGTATCCAAAAGTGAGTTTTGATTGTATAAAGAACCCCACCAATAAACATTGAAAATTCATCAAAAAACCAATTCCTCGTCTCCGGAGAGCGTAATAATTTAGGGAGCAATTTATTCTCCATTGACTGCCGAGATCGGGGCTGAAATAACTTTTTCAAGAATAAAAATAATTAAAAAACGTGAATATCCTCGTTAATAAAAAGAATTTTTATCCAATTTAAATGCAAATCCAAACGAGCTTTTAGCCTTTCCTTTTCCTCAGATTTAATTGGCGTAATAAGTGAAGCACAAATATCGTCTACTATTAAATTACAAATCTAAAAAGTTTTTTAAATTATATTTGAACCTCCTCACTTTTTAGGTACTACATCCTAGCAGTTTACAAAAGTTTATCTTATGATGAGTGTACCTTAAGGAAGTATCGTCAACAAAACTTAAATAAATGTACTTTTAAGGTAAATCTAGTACCTACAAGTGAAGTTAGAAGCAAAATAATTTTTTTAAAAAACCTGAACAGTTGGAGGCTCATTCCTCATTTGTTTATAGATTTTAATTAAAAAATCGTCAGAAAATATTTGTTGTCTCAAGTCAGGATGTAGTTTAAGTAAACAATTCTAGAAAAATAAAAATTTATTTTTAAAGATTAGAGAAAGAAAAAAAGAATCGGAAAGGAAGAAAATTCAACAGGAATACTTCTTCAATTTCTCAATTCTCTTTTAATAAATTTTTAAATAAAAAAATACCAATAACATAGCTCGTTGTTTGGTAAAAGAATAATTTTTTGAATTATCAGATTCTCCAACAACTCTGTGACCAAAATTTAATAAAAAATCACAAAAAGGTATAGAAATTCTTTTTGAACATAAAATTTGTTTTGTGGGATTAACAACATCTTTAAAGTATATAAAAATTGAAAAAAAATTTGAAAAAGAAAACCTTTACAACAACAAAAATTCCTATGAATTTCCAAAAGATTTTGAAGAATTGAAATAGCTTGAAAATTAATTGCATCACAAAAGGGAAAATCCAAAATGTAAAAACAAAAATCCACAAGCTGATGAAAATGATGGGAAGGCAATGAAATAGAAAATTCACTTAAAAATTTTGATAAAGTCAAACATTTTTAGATACACCCAATACCTCAATTTTAAATTTCCCTCTTTACTTTCATTCCCCTCTTTAATAAAAAATGAGAGGAAACAAATCCTAAAAATACCAAACTTTAAAGGCCCATATCTGTCCGAAAATGGCTCCGTAGCCAGAAATGGCAATAGATTATTGACTATGCACCAGAAAATACAAAATTTATACTTAAAGTTCGGGGGGGGGGGGGGGGGGAGGGGTCCCTTGTAACATTTGAACATAAATTTATCCAGCTTTTAAGTTCTATCCCATAATGAGGTCCATTTAGTATATTTCAACAATTTAAATTTAAAAAATAACCACAAAATTGCTGAGAATCTGCAGAGTATTTTTGAACATTTAATTAAATTAAAAGTATCATTGGACCTCTGGCAAACTTCATTTAAAATTAATTTCAAGCAATGACCAACCAAAAAACCTGAAAATAAAATTAAAAAAGTTCTCCTTAAATTTTAATATTTTACCTTTTTCCAGATGTTCCTCAATATTACAACAAGGTTCTAACCATTTTAAATCGGCTCGTAAAGAAAGAAAGTTCAAATCATTAACAGAATTCACGGCAGAACAATCCATTTAATTGATTTTATTACAATGAGGAATTATATGGAAAATAAAAATTTAAAAAAATTAACTGATAAAATATAAAATTTTATTAAAAAAATTAAAAAACTTTCCAAGACAATCAAAATGAAATTATAATCTACTATATAATTTAAATATAATATTTATCACATTTAAAAAATTAGAAATATTTAAACAATTTAAGGTAAAAAAAGATATAAAATTCTAAAATTTTCAAAGCATCTATTAGAGATTGGCATGGAGCGGGTCCCAAAAGGATTTTTCGGGATTCCGCCTCAAAATTCAGATTTTTTCACTTTCCCAGATTAATCAAACGGGATTCTATTTTGTTCAAAATTTTTAAACCAACCCCGTTTCGAATCCAAGGACTGCAATTTTACCTACCTCCATATCTCTAATATCAATAGATATTAAAAAATTGTGATATCAACTCTATGCCAAGCATTATGTAAAAGTCCACGTACATTCCAAATTCCACAAGCATCTTCTGGTTGTGTGTTGTAACCTCTATCTGTTGCTTTACAAATTAATTCAAAATGTCCATTCTCTTTTGCTTTCTCTGGAATTGGCATTTCCAATCTCCAAAGCGTCCAAGCCCACATATGTTCAAAATCTTGACCTTCAGCTTGTTTCAATTCAGCACATTTCCAGTTTTTTCCACCATCAGCTGATACTTCAACTCTAATAATTCCTTAAAATATTTAATTAAATATTAGCAAAAAATTCGTTAAAAGTTAAATTTAAATTTAGAAGAAAAAGTTCTCCTTTTCTCATTCAATTTTCATTTTCCTATTTGTCATTGGAATCGAAAAATTGTTATTTAACGCTTAAAAGAAAATTTTGACAGATATATCTCCCAGGACATGTTCTAGCTAATATGAGCCAGACATTTAATCATTTTATTTATGTGATCGGAGGATTTGTTAAATCTTTTTGCCTAATTTATTTAAATGAAAAATTAAAACGTCTTTTCATTTTTACACACAAATCCATTCTTTTTGATTAAATTTAAAGAAGAAACAGAAATTAGTAGAAATCTCAAAATTTGAAAATTTAACAAAAAAAACCTCTTCCTCCTCCACTCCATGCATACCCTTCAACCACAATATTTTCGGTTTCTTTAGAAATTTTTGTATTTGGAGTAGGAACACAAATAGCACTTTGAACAGGATATTCCTTAAATATTTTAATATTCGTTAAAAATTAAAAAAAACCTGAATAGAAGGAACAGAATCAAAAGGTAAAGGATCGCCAATATTTATATTCGAAGGCATTGCCTAAAAATTAAAAGAAAAATTTAAAAATTAATTTCTTAAAAACTTTATAATCTTTCCTTTGCCAATGACTTGTACTCTCTTCCTCACTTGTTTTGATACAAGTTAACCATTTGACTTGACGGGCACCAACAATTCCAGGGGCAATTATTCTAAGAGGATATCCATGATCACGAGGTAGCGGTTCACCGTTCATTTCGTAAGCTAAAATTTTTCGGATAAAAAATATTCACATAAATATACATACTAAATGTAAAAGGAAGCAAAGCAAGAGAAGATATAGACCCTAGGATTCGAACCTGGCTGGTCACAGCTCAAATAAAGAACTACCGCACTGAATATACAAGTGGTGCTTGTTATAAGACCAACCAATTATTTCAAATAACTATTAAACTAACCAATTAATACTTCTGGACTCATTGCTTTATCAAAAGGAATAGACGCTCCATATTTATTGCCTAAAATTAAATTTTAAGAAAAAACCTTAAAATTATAAATAACCAGTCATGTCCATATCAGCACCCTCAAATTGAACATGTTTTATTTCTTTATTGTTTGGGTTAATTCCAGCACTAATTAAAACATCCTAAAAAACTTTAACAATTTCTTTAAATAATTTCAAAGTTCATTTATCCAATTAATAACCGGTGGAAAGGCTCGAAAATATATAAACGGAATAGGAAAATATCAGAATTAAGTATACTCGTTAAAACTCAGATAGTGAAAGTAAATTTACTTCCACCAGAGCTATTTCGAAACAAAAAATACCGAAAAATTGAAATCGAAAGTTAAAAACCTCAAAAATTGAAATTTCAAAACAGCTCCTAATTCCACTAACCCCCCCCCCATTTCCCTTAAAAATTTAAAAAACAAACCCTCAATCGACAACCAGTCCATTCAGCATTTGAAATTGCCGTTCCTGTCCACATCAATCCTTGAACTTTTTTAAATTCATTCATATCATTACGTCGATTCCCTGCACTAAAATTAAAACAAAAATTTCTTTTAAAAATATTTTTGAAAAACCATTGAATTGTTGATGTTATTTTAACTGGCTCATATTTATTTTTCAAATCATTAACAGATAAATTAATTCCTCTTTTAATTCCAAGGCCATTAACTTCTAAAAAATGTTTTTTTTCATCCAACTAAATTAAAATAGAATAATTATCCCAAAAATTCATCCAAATTTAATACATTAGGAACAGGCATATGATTACGAACAAAGAAAAGATCATTCGGAGTCTTAAAATTGTCAACAAGCAATTGAGATGGAATTTCTGCATTGAAAGGTTTTTGAGAATTAATTAAGAGTGCTGGATGTCGTGGAGGGTCAATTCCAAAAGGATCATTGGGTAAAGGCTAAAATATAAAAATGTTTTACTTTGAATTTAAAAGCTATGAAAAGTTAATCAAACTTTTTAGAATTTTGAAAATATAATCAAAGGTGTGGTTTAACAAAACGTCACCACTGGACCAGAGTCAAAATTATAATATTTTAAATTAAACAATCCTGACAAAAAAGATTGAATTAAACAAACTTTTCCCAATTCAGAATCCTTCAATTCATCTTTAGATAAACTCCCAATCCTCAATTCTTCAAGTAATTCCAAAACTTCCTCAGTTTTGTGTTGGGCATAAATTAGCCAATAAGGCTCCTACAAATTTAATTGTTTTAAAAAAAATTAAAAAGGATTACAATTGAATTTCCTGCAGCCAAAAGTATTTTATCCCCTCCAGGATGGGACTGGATAAAGTCAGTAATGTCATAAACACCCTTTAAAGAAACAAAAAAATTAATTTAAAAATTAAAAAAAACTTGTTTGTAAGTAACCCAAATTCGATTAGCATCTTTTCCGTGTTGTTTAACCTCCTCAAAAGTAAATATTGGCAAATCTCTCCTTTCTGGAGGTTTAAGATTTTCTTTTAAATTTTCTTTCAAAAGACACTTTTTGAAGAGAAAATAATCATTAAAATTAAATATTCCAAAAATTCCTCCTCCAAAAGCAGCAAATACAAAATAGTAATTATTAAATTTTGACCTTTGATGATATTTTATGTTGAAATAATCAAAATTTGAAGTATTTTTATTTGTTATTCGAGTAGAATAAGATTGATCTAAAGAAATGATTTTTTAAAGAAATCTTTTTTTAAATTTTCGGCTTTGTGAGGCCCAATATTTTATTTCCTCGCTATTTTCAGGCTAAGGAGCTGGGACTTGTCCAAAATAAATGTAGAGGTCAAATAAGTATATATCTCCGGGTTAAAAATATTAAATTCATTTTTGGTGATTTATTTAGTTTCAAGATTTTTTTTAAAGGAGAATATGAAAAATTAGGATTCAAAGAAACTTCCGAATATATGAAAGCGAACCGAAAAATAATTTGACTCCTCAGTTCGTTTCCGAATTTACAACAAACAGTTAAAAAATTAAAACACAAATAGACTCCTCCCAATTAATTTTATATTAAAAAATCCATTCTTACTTTTGTAATTCCGAAGTTTCCCTCTATTTTGACAATAATTGATTAAAAATGTAATAAAGTTCTTCTGTTGTTTTTTAAATAAAGAATTCATTTTTAAAATAACTGAAAATATTTTTAAGGATTTTAAAAATAAATTTAAAAATATTCAATCAAATAAATAATAAATAATAAGTAAGGCTGTGATTTATAGGCAAATGCCTATTTTTTCTGCAAGCTTGGGATGATGTAATACGTTCAAAAAACGTGTTTTTAGCTTGGTCCGATAAGTCTAGCATGACTTTTAATTTGCCTATTTCTGCCTATTTTTGAATTTTTGTGCCTTTCTGCCTATTTTGAAATTTTTGGTACTATTTTTGCCTTTTTTAGCGATTTTTTCGAAATTTTGCCTAAAAATCAGTGCAAAATCTAAAAAATCAGTCCCAAATTTAAAAAAATAGGTGCCAAGTCCCATTATTGATTTTTAGTTCGATAAATTGTTTATTTTTACTCTGTTGGACATTTTGAACTGGGACGATTTGGTATTGGGACGTTTTGGGGTGCGGCGTTTTGTGTGTTGGGCGAGATTTCCATTTTGTCGATTATCGACATTTTAAAAAAATTTACTCCATTTTTTTCAAAAAATGATTCAAAATGACGAATAAATGGTAAAATTGTTTAAAAAATAGTTTTTAATTTAAAAAATGACGATTAAATGGTTATTTTTTCTGTTTTTATCTCCATTTTATGGTCTAATAACCTTTTTTGCATGCCTATTTTTGTGCCTTTTTCGGCTTTTTGGTGCCTATTTTAGGCGCCTATTTCACTGATTTTACTTGCCTAACTATCACAGCCTTAATAATAAGACAAAAAATATTAAAAAAAATTTTTTTTTTATTTTATTTATACAAAATTCAATTTTTAAACATATAAAAGTCAAATATTGTCTATGAATTATTTAAAAAAAATATTTAAATATATAAGCACGCATTAATTATAATTCTTTTTTAAAAGTTTAACTTTTTATAACGTTTTATCTCGATATTTGTTTGGAAGCTTTGAAAGGTCCGATTTGGCATATTTCTTTATAATGACTAGGCCTGAAAATATGTATAATTTTTGGAAAGTATCTTGAATGGAAGAAACTGCTTTTCTCATTACTTGAAATTTAAATTACAAATACTTGGGTTCAGAAAATTATAACGTTATTTTTTACGAACAGTGGAAACAAAAAATAAAAAACCCATCCAGATAAACCTATCCACTTTCAATTAAGAAAGATCATTAACAAAAAAACTAACCCAAAGTAACAGAATTTCCAATAAAAATAATTGCAAACATAATAGCCAAAACAATTACTTGCCATTCACGAGAACAATCTTTATGTAAATAAATGTCAAAAAGTCTGTAGGAACAATAGCCTTGGAAAGCCTTCAAAAAATTTTTTTTGAAAATTATTTAAAAAAATAAAAAAAACAAACATATCCAACAATTAAAAAAGGTAGAAGGAAAGTCTAAAAATATTTTTAAAAAATTATTCAAAAAAATTTTTTTTATAAATTACCAATCCTTTAAACATCCAACTACTAAATCCTAAAAATATAAATTTAAAAAATAATTATTTTATTAAAACCTTCTAAAGTTACATCCATACAGTGACGTTGTCCCAAAGCATCTAAAATTTTGGGACAATATATTTAAGAAATTAAGAAAATTTAATTTAAGAAAATTTAAGATTGGAAAAATAAGTTTTTATTAATCAAGATGTATTTTATATTTTTTCAGTTGAATGAGAAAACAAAAAAGCCTATTTCCTTTTTAATTGAAAAAATACAAATCACAAAAAGGATAAAATCTAAATTAAAAAAAATAAAATTCCTTAAAATAATCTAATTATCCATCCATCCATCCATCCATCCCTCCCCCCCCTCCCCTCTCATTATAATTTAATATATAAACTTACGTAATCGTCGCAAACAGCCAGTCTGGTATTTATATCTAGAAAAAATATTTTTAATATTTATTATAAATTGTATAATAGGGAACAAGCAAAAGCGAAATTTTGATTTTGAATGTCATATTTACAATTTTTAAAAAAATTAAAAAAAACAAACTGAATTATTTGGACAGAGCCAATATAACAAACAAAATAAATAAAAACATGTCTAAATTGATCATAACAATCTCCATCTCTCCAAGTTAAAGTAATTCCACAAAGTACACAAGAAATGTAATGATGCAAAACCTTTTTAAAAAATAATTTTAAAATTTAGATATTTAAAAATAGAAACTTACCCACCAACCTTTAATACGAGATCCATTTAGACGAAGAATTGATTCACGGATGGTCTAAAAAAATAAATTTAAAATAAAAAGAATATTTAAGGGAGCATTAATTTAATAAATATGTAACATCCAAATTATTTCAAAAGGTTAAATAATTTTTGAATTTGTTTTACATTTATTTTTGCGGATATTCTGATAATAGCGACCAATTAAAAAAAAATGAAATTTCATAGGAAAATTGTACCAGAATATAATTCTCAATTAAATAATCACAAAAAATTTAAAAAATATCAACTAACTAAAGTGCAATAATACCAAACAAGGAGAAAATTACAGAGTGCATCAATTATCCTAAACGGCGGCAGAATATAAGCCAAAACAAAAATGGCAAGAATCTAAAATTTTAAATACAATTTTAAATTTAGTTTAAAAAAATTTACCACAAAAGTAACAGATAATTTGAAAGATTCGTATTCCTTTTTGTATTTGTACCTTTCATCAGAATTTAAAAGAGAAATGTTTAAATTGCTGCCAAGGATAGTTGAAAGGTAGAAACTAAAATTAAAAATTTTTTTTTGTTTTGGTAATTTTAAAAATAATTTTTTTAAATAACTGAACAAAAAAATTAATTATACAAAAAATTAAAAAAATTGAACAGAACTTCCGTGTTAAATATTTTTACTTTCAGAAGAGATTCAGAATTGGATATCGAAAACGGACGTTATATTTTTATTACAAACAGACAATGTAAATATATCAAATAAACTTAAAAATACCCATTCTCCCGTATCGGAAGTTCCCTCTGCATTTCAGCTAATTTTGAAGTAAATTGGTCGATACTCGCCCTCTTTTCAGTCAAAATTTTTTTCTCCTCTTCATTCAAATTAGATTCTTGTAAACTAAATTAAATAACCATTTTTAAAATAAAAATAACAAAAAAACCTTTTAAAGTCTTTCCGCAGTTGCTTAAAAAGATAGGAAAGATGTTTTTGATTTTTGACGCAATTTTCTTGGCTTTGAGTCATTTGCTTATAAAGTCGAAGATATTCTAATTGTTCTTGCTAAAAAACGAAAAAAAAATCATCATATTTATCAGATCAAGTCAATTTTGTATGTTTTTATCCAAATCGATGAGCATCGATGGATAGTATAAAACAATCTCTCTAGACATTTTTACGTTAACTAGCTTACTTCCAATAATTTTTCGAAAATGCTCATATCAGTCAAATTAAGAAAATAATTTGACCGTCTCGACTACGAAAAATGTCCGCAAAAATATAATCAAAAATTAAGCTATTTAAAAAACAAACCTCAGCCTTTTCAAAATCAGAAATAAAAGTCCCATAATCCTTGTTAAATTCCTCCATTAATATATCAATTTAATTAGATAAAATGCAAAAAATCTGTCCGAGATTAATAAAACCTTTATTAAAAAATCAAAAAAAGTATTTATAAAATAAAAAATTTTACAAAATTAATAAAACAAAATTCTTTTAAAATTATATTTATTAAATTTAAGTTTTTTAAACATTCTTGAGGTTAAAGGCTATTTCTGGGATGAGAATTATATATTGGAAAAAATTACAAAATCGATGTTTAATTAATATCGAAAAATTTTTTAAAGTTGAAAAAATATAGAATAAGGCAAGACAGGACAATTTACTTTCAAAAAAAAAAAGAAAATTTTCTTCAGAAAACGTTGGAATATTACTTACAATTAGAATTTAAAAAAATTTTAAAAATATTTCGAAAATCAATTTGTTTTAAATTTTCAACCTATCTCCGAAAATTCATTCCAAAAATTTTTTCTGTAAATTGTCCTACTATCGAAAAATAATTAAATTAAATATTGTTTTGTGTCCTAATTTTGAGCATTTAAAAATTAAAAAAATCCCCTTTTCTTTCCTTTTTCTAAATTATTGTTTCCTTTTCTTCAGGAAATGATTTTTTAGAAATAATTCTGTCAAAATCTTCATGTTGTGGATATATCCCTGTACCAAAAGGTTTATTATAACGGTCAATAAACTGCTCCAGAGAACCATTATTCTTAAAAATATTTTTGAAAAAATTAAAAATAAATAAAAAAAACATACTCCAACATTTTTATAAATTTTGCTAGATGGAGGTATCATTAATTTTCTGGCTTCAGGAATTTGTAATGGATAAAGTTCAGCCCTGTGAATAGCTAATGCTGGACCCCAATCATCAGCTGGACACAAAAGTTCACGAATTCGCTAAAAATTGATTACAAAAAATATTAAAATAAATAAGATGCAAAAATGTATGAAAAGAAGTAAAAATTGAAAAATATTTAAGTAGAAATTGAACCTTACGATTTCTCGCGAAGCGCTTACGTTCGCTCACTTTATCGTTATAGATCCAACACCCAAACCTATGCGTTTTTAATACTAGGTAATTAGATGTACTTCTACATTTCATAAAAATGCATAAAATCTAATCGGTAAAATTTAAAAAAAGACGGTTAAAAATTTAAAAAAATTAAGAGCAAATATAAAGTTTAAGAAATCCAAACAGTATGCATGACATTAAAAATCCCATTTAAATTTTCTCAAATTAGAAAAACCTGAGAAAAAGATCCACTACTTTGTATAAAATAAAAGAAAATTGTTGTAAATATAATAAATACTGGAGATAAAGAAATTGTCCAACCAAGAATTATTGACCATTGAGGAAAAACAAAAAAGTTATATTCAATTGAATAATTATTAGTCCAAATCAATGAAAGAAGTAACTTTAAAAGAAAAATTTTCTCAAATTTAAAAATTATTTTACCAATAATATAAAGGGACAAATAAATTTCCAAAGAATTTTCCAAGCCAAATAAAATGGAGGGTAAAATCCAATCTAAAAATAAAAATTATTTTAAATCCAAGAAATTTTTGTGATAGATTTTTGCGGTCAATTTACACAAAATATCTTAAGAAATAATTGAATTTATATATAAAAACCCTAATTAAATAAAGAATTGAAAAAATAGGGAATATACAATTATTAAATAATCAAGTACAAAATCTAATTCAAATTTTTTAACTAGATTTTCAATTAATGTGTCAATTTAATATGTTTAACCTGCCCAAAAAAAGTATTTTCGAAGGAATTTTTTTTGGGTATTTGAATGATAATTTGTCGAAAATTGCCCACAAAAAAGTCGTCCGTAAAAGATATTCAAAAAACCCTAACCATCCATTTAACATTATCCAAAAAATTGTCAACACCTTTAAAAAATAATTTACAATATTTTTTATAAAAATTTAAAAGAAAAACCATAAATCCAACAAACAGTCATAACTTCAAAAAATCCAATAATAATTAAAGGCCAGGTAACACCAAAATGTTCAAATAAAATAATCCAATAAATACCTGCCTAAATAAATTAACGAAAAATGATTTTAAAATATTAAAGAAAAATTACGGCAGAACAAAGTGGAATACCCAAAACGAAAAAAGTAAAAATTGTAAATGTAAGCACATGTCTGTGACTTCGCCTAGAAAATTAATTTATAACAATATTCCTAATTAATATTTGATTTTTTGAAGCCTCTGGGTTTTGAAGCCTCTGATGTAGAATGAAAAAAGTATTTATTTGTTTGGTTAAGCCATTATTTTTTAGATACACTTCCGAAATTGTGCGAAAGTTTATGTAAAAGACAGGGATCGAACCTGAAACATTCTAATGTAATGTTATTGCAAATCGTCTCGTTAACCACATTTAAGTGTGCTGTACCAAATGATTCTCCGGGAGTAATGACACCCTACATCCTCCGACCTTTTTTATTTACCTATAAAAATTTTTAAATATAAGAATACCTTAAACGTTCAGGAAACAAATCACAAATTGAAGAGACCTTTATAATAAAGTTTAAAAAATTAAACTAAAAATTCCTACTATTGTCTCAACAACAAATAACTAAAAAATAGAAAAATATAAACAAAATAAATTAAAAAAAAACCTCTGTATTAAAAATAACTAAAGCAACCATTGTAAAAAAGAAAAGAGAATAAATTTGAGCAACAGGGACTTTAGAAAGAGTATCCGAGAAAAAAACAAAAATCATTTGAAGACCTTCTTGAAGTTGAAATTTAGTTAGTTCAATATCCCTTTCATGACAAACAAAGCCAACAGCAGCGAATAATAGAGAAGACATTAAAATAGAAGCGAGAAAGTCGAATAAACTGATTAGCTTAAAAATTGACATTTTATTTAAGAAAAATAAATCATTAAAAGGAACATCGCTTTAATTTTAAATGTAGGCGTGGGAACTTTTAGTTTTAAATTTAAAATCTATTTCTTATTTAATGAACCCGATTTTACGCATAATTTTAATTTCACGATTTTATGCACTGTTAATTACGTAAACCATCGATTTTAGGTACAATTTTTTAAATATCTTTAGACAATTGGTGGAGGTTAATAAACGACAGCCAGAACTTAAATAAACACCTTAATTACACCTAAAAAATTTTTCAGCCCTAAGGGTGTAAGCCAGACCGAACAATCAAAAAATTTACAAAATTACCCAAATATCAGCAAACACATTATTGTGAAATTTATTATAACTAGACAAAGTAATTAACCCTCCAGTGCATGTTGAAAGTGAATAAAACACTTGAATAGCGGCATTAGCCCAAACTCTTAAATCTCTAATAATTTCAATATTTGGCTTCATAAAAAACAAAAATCCATTGAAAGAGCCAGGAAGCGTGAAGAAACGAATGAGTAGAACAATCAGAATTATATAAGGGAATAAAACGGTGACATAAACTGCCTGATAAAGAAAACTTAAAAATAAAATTTCTAAATTTAAAAAAACCTTTCCACTTGTTTTTATTCCCTTAAAAGAACATAAAAAGACAAATAACCAGGCAACGAGTAAACAACTGAAAAAAAAGAATTCAATTAAAATTTTAAAGCTATTTAGAGAAAAATTACAAAAATATTTAAAAACAAATAAAATTACTAACATAGCCAATTGCCAATTAATCGTTTCAAAATCAAGAATTCCCGAAGAGATCATCAAAACTTGATTGCTTAAAAATTGAAATTTAAGAAAATACAAAAAAATTTTTAACTGAAAATATTCAATTCCCGTCATAGTTTTGTTATTTGAATCCAAAACAAGAATTGAATTATTGTTGCCAGGATCAATATTATTAAAATCAACACAAGTTCCATTAGAAAGAAAAGAACCATTTAAATGTTGACAAGCATTAATTGACCCTTTATTCCAAACAGAACAATCTTTAAAAGAAAAAATTAACTTTAAAAAATTATAAAAATACTTTCACTATTCCATTCATTTCCACATGTTGTCCAAGGTAAAGAGAATTTAAGCGAATTAATCATATAATATAATGCCCAGGCAGTAATTAAATTGTAATAAATAGCAATTAATGTAGAGACAAAAAGCATAGAAATTCCAATACCTAAAAAAGGATAAAATAATTGGAAAGAATGTGTCCTGGAAAAATTGCCAGAAAATTAAGGAGACTCAAAACCCTGATATATGATTTCAAGAAAATTTGAAAATTTTCGATATCGAACCATGAAAGAATTATGGTAAAGTAAAAATGAGCGCCCTCAAAATTTTTTTGCCGGATCCTTTAAATCAAGGTGTGAATTCAAAACCAGGGCAATCCATACGAAAATATGAATCAATAAGTCAAGTAATAAAAACCTTTAAAAAGAGGTGCCAATTTCCAAACAGAAGCTGGTCCCAAACTGACAAATTGCCCCAGTGAAATCTCCTAAAATTATGTAAAATGTTTTAAACATAAAATGTTAAATAACCATAAAAAGAATTGGAAGAGCACCAACAAAAAATAAAATTGTGTAAGGAATTAAATAAGCGATACTAACATAAATTAAAAGATGTTTTTTAAATAAAAGAAAAAATACCCTCCATTAATTCCAAAATAATAAGGAAAACGCCATAAATTTCCTAATGCAAAAGTATAACCAAAAATTGAGAATAAATAATCCAATTTTAAAGACCAATTTCCTCTAATTCTATTTTCATCACCAGATCCACCAGTCTCCTCAAAAGGATATTCTATGCCAAAATCTGTCTCTTCATAATTCATTTCCCCTAATTTTTAAAGAAATATGTTTGGGGAGTGAGAAATGAAAAAATCGATAAAAGACACTAATCGAAAGTCAAAAAACGAGATGAAATTCATAAAACATCGAAATACGCAAAGGAAAAAGGAGAAGTCAACTTGGGCTCACCCAAGAACTTGAGCGCCCAGGAGGTCAAAGCCCAAATGGCAAATTACCCAAAAGGTCAAATACAAATTTTGGGTGGATAACGGCGACGCATGCTCAAGAGGGACACGGACACTATGGCGCGGGCCACTATGGCGCGACCACTATGGCGCGACCACAATGGCGCAGGCCACTATGGCGCAAGCCCACTATGGCGCGACCACTATGGCGCAAGCCCAATATCCCACAAATCTTTATCTAAAAGCGGATTAATTTATTGGGATCAGCCCAGAAGGTAAAAATCAGAAGATCAAGACCCAGAAGGTTAGGTCAAATTACCAATCGAATACAAATTCTTGATGGAAAAAGAGTTTGTTCATATTAAGACGGATTTGGGCGGATTAAGACTGATTTGTCGGGATTAGGGGGGATGAAGGGATATATGACGGAAATAAACTCGTGCAACTGTCGGACAATGCAAAAGAACACATATATAATCAGACTCATAACAATGCCAGACTTTTGCGGACCTTATTTTTAATTTAAAGCCTTGCGCCATAGTGGTCGCGCCATAGTGGGCTTGCGCCATAGTGGTCGCGCCATAGTGGTCGCGCCATAGTGGCCCGCGCCATAGTGGGCCGTACCCTGCTCAAGAATATGTTTGTTGCACGAGTATTTCTCGTTCTGTCCCTTGATCCCAACAAATCCGCCCAAATCCGTTGATATCCTCCTTAATACCCACAGTCTTAATATGCATAAATCCTTCCTTATCCACCCAAAAGTTGTATTTGACCTTTTGGGTAATGACCATCTGGGTTTTGACCTTTTGGGTTGATTCCTTAAAGTTAAGATGAAAAAGTTGGCCGAATCACAGCTTCCAATCGCTTAGAAATGATCAGATATTAGTGATTGAAGGACCTAAACAAAAAAAGAATATTCAAAAAGATACTAATGTAAGTTAGCTAAAGACATTCAAATTTCAAACTTGAGCATAAAAAATTACTCGAAAAAAGACACAATTTATAATAAAAACAAACAAAGAACAATTTTTAATTAAATCTATATTTTCTAGAGGAATTCAACCTATCCTCCTTTTTCAAAATTTTATTTAACAAATCTATTCTCTATTGCTTGGCCAGTTCCTCTGCCTTTTTGTGGACATCTTCTATATCTCCCTGCATATAAAATGCCACCTCCGGGATGTGGTCCATCTCTCCTAAAGATTTGTTTTAATTAAAATAAATAAATCTAAAAACCTCTCAAAATCTTTTCAAATCCATCAATAGTCTGTTCAAGACTGACGAATTTACCCTTATGTCCAGTAAAGACTTCGGCAACTTGGAAGGGCTGCGAAAGATAACGTTGAATCTTTCGAGCACGCGAGACAGTCAATTTATCGTCTTCGGAAAGTTCATCCATTCCAAGGATGGCAATAATGTCCTGAAGCGATTTGTAGTCTTGCAGAATCTTCTGAACACCACGAGCAACATCTAATAAAAGAAAATTCAAACTATTCAAATAATTAAAATTTAACCATAGTGACGATTTCCAACAATATTAGGATCCATAATTCGAGAAGTAGAGTCCAACGGGTCAACAGCAGGATAAATTCCCAATTCAGCAATACCACGAGAAAGTACTGTTGTAGCATCCAAGTGAGCAAAAGTTGTTGCAGGTGCAGGGTCAGTCAAGTCATCAGCGGGGACATAAATAGCTTGCACAGAAGTAATTGAACCCTTTTTGGTTGTTGTAATTCGCTCCTGCATACTCCCCATGTCGGTAGCCAAAGTAGGTTGATAACCGACAGCAGACGGAATACGTCCAAGCAAAGCCGAGACCTCAGAACCAGCTTGAGTGAATCGGAAAATATTGTCGATGAAAAGCAACACGTCTTGTCCCTCCTTGTCACGGAAATACTCGGCAACAGTCAAACCAGTTAAACAGACACGAGCGCGAGCACCTTAAGAAAAAAAGTAATTAAGCCCTTAAGTTCAGAGTTGAATAAGAAAACCTGGAGGTTCGTTCATTTGTCCATATACAAGCGACACCTTCGAATTATTTCCCTTCAAATCAATAACACCACCCTCGATCATTTCGTGATAAAGATCGTTTCCCTCACGAGTTCTCTCCCCAACACCAGCAAAGACAGAAAATCCACCATGAGCCTTAGCAACGTTGTTAATCAGTTCCATAATAAGCACAGTTTTGCCGACACCAGCACCACCAAAAAGACCTAAATATTTAAAAATTAAAATATAAAAAATGAAAAATCCAAATTAAACCAATTTTTCCTCCTTTGGAATAAGGAGCAAGAAGATCAACAACTTTAATGCCTGTCACTAAAATCTCCTGCTCAACGTTCATTTCCACAAATTCGGGAGCCTCAGCGTGAATTGGAGCAAAGTTCTTTGCCGCAATCGGACCTCGCTCATCGATTGGTTCACCAATAACATTCATAATACGACCAAGAGTTTCAGGTCCAACAGGAATCTTAATAGGATCACCAGTATCGATAACTTCTTGCCCTCGAATGAGTCCTTCTGTACCGTCCATAGCAATGGTACGAACAACATTGTCACCTTAAAAAGTTTGAGTAATTAATTTAAAAACTCGAAAATACCCAAATGCTGTGAAACTTCTAAAATTAATTTCGATCCTTTTCGACCCTGAACTTCCAAAGAATTCAAAATTGGTGGCAACCCTTCATCAAATTGAACGTCCACAACAGCACCAATTACAGCCACAATTCGTCCTTTCGATCCTTTAGTAGTCTGTGTTGGAGTTGCTGGTTTTTCAGCAGTTGCAGCAGCCGCTAAGTTACTTGCTGAAGAATGAAGAGGCCTAACGATGCCGCAGTGATGATTCCGAGCTTAGAATAAATTTTTAGTAAATTTGGATAAAAAGAATGTTTAAAAACCTGCTAAAATCGTATTTGTAGATCGGTGACTAATATACCGAAGTTTGCTTGCGATCCTTGCAAAAGTCCGCGAAGCCATTAATGCTCAAAATAAATATTGGGTAAACAAACAATTAAACTAAAAAATCGTTAATACTAAATTACAATTATTCGGAACAAATTAAGATAAAAATTTTATAAATTTAAAGCATTTTTCTATTGCAAATCTACTTAAAAATTCTTACAAAAATGAACTGATCAAGAAAATTTTAGCTCATCGAGTTACAGTAAGAATTGATAGAAAAAAATCCAGAATTTCGTTGCGGAATTATTTGAAAGGAGTTTTTAAATTTATGTCTACTTGAGTATTGATTTGAGTTTCAAATTTCATCTCCTCGTCGGCAAAATCATGTTTTTTTAATCCCTTAAATAAAAAAGTGCAGGATTTTCGACTAAATCCGCACTTACATTAGACTGGGTCCATCCCATTACGCATTCTTAAACACTTAACTTTCTTAACATTTTTAGATTTTGTTATGACATCAACATCTGTGGAAGACGAAAATGAAAGATTATTTCAGCTTTATCCTCTTCATTATTTAATTTTTAATAATGACATTGAAGCATTAAAATCAAAATTAGAAATATCAGAAGATATAAAAGAATATATTAATAAATTAGATATTCATGGACGGACTCCTTTAATGCTTGCAACAATGCTTGGACATATTGAATGTGCAGAATTACTTTTAGACAATGGAGCAGAGGCAAATACACAAAATAAGCGTATAAATTTGATAAGAAAATTTTTAATAATTAAAATAAATTTTTCAGAAATGTGGAATTTGTCACACGAAGCAATTTTGTTAAAAAATGTTAATTTTCTTCAGAAAATTCTTGCTGCTCGTGATTATGAACGGTATCTTGAAACTAGTCGAATTTTGAAGCAAATACGTAATAGTTTTAAGGCAAGAGGTTTTTTAAATTTTTAGTAATGGATAATTCAATTTTGTCATTTCTTATTTTTGGTTACTTTTGGATTGCTTTTTATTTAGTTTTGAAAGCTAGAGCTAGGATCTTTGATAACTTTCTGTGGCTTTTTGATTTGAAATTTTTAAAATTCAACGAAACCCATATGTATAGACTAAAAAGACCAGTAAATTAACGAATGGTCAAAGATTCTGCTGCTTAAGGCCCTGTAACCATACATTATTAGCAAATCTAAGTTACCATGATAAAGGGCCACAAATTTTCAATTTTCTTTAGACGATTAATAAATTTTTATTTTTAAAGGATTCCTCTGACTTTTATGTTGAGATGTAAGTCTCTAATTTATATTTTTGTGAAAATTAGTCCTATTAAGGACGTGGGAGTTCGCTTCATGGCTTCCTTTTGTTAAGAATATGTGTCCTTCTGACACTTATAAAGTAAATTTTTTTAAATAATTTTTATTTTAAAATTTTTCTTTCGCAGATTTACAAACACGGGAATAGCATTAGAATAGATGCAAATCTTCTCGAAATATCAAATGATCAAATTCTAAATAAAACAAGAGGAAATCAATCTTTCATTTTTCGATTTGGAGATTCTGAATCTGCTGAAATATTATTTATTGACAGAGACGAGAAAACAGTAAAAAATTTTTAATTAAAAAATTGGGACATGAACTGTTTTGCTATGTTTTTTCTATATTGTTTGTCTGTTAGATGGGTCAACCATCTATACAAGAAAAATAAGCATAGTTTATATACAAGCAAGTTGCATTACTTTTGGATTGTGATTATTTACTGGGTGGATTTCTGTACTAATTTGAGTTTCCATTTTTTATTACGATTAGCAAATCTTTTTTATAAAATCATATGTTTTCCTTTTACTGTAAAAAGTGCAGTTTTCAAACAAAACATTAAAATAATGGCAGGCCGAAACTGGCGGACCCGACGAATTTCTCAAAACATTGCTCATTCGAAAGAACTCGACGAGCTG